CTGGCCTCGATTGAGGCTAGGCGCGCTGCTGCACCTCCACTTCCTGGTGGCAGCGGCCCCCATACGTCTTCGTTTCATTTCCGAGAACCGCCATCTGACGAAAAGCCAAAGGCGAAGCGATGGGATCACCGCTTGAGCATTGAAGCTCTCACACAATTAACCTCCGAACTCAAGATTGCATCAAGGGGTGGCGGCCCGACTGGCAAAGCACCCAAGATTTCCCTTGGAACGGGCAGACCAGCCCCGCAGTACTTCCCTTTCATTTCAATTCAGATGAATGCTATGAATACTCCTCAAGACGCGGCCTTGGGCACCATCAACGCTGAGCCGACGATGGTCTGCGCCAAAGGGGAGGCAGCGTATGACCTGGACATCGCCATGAACTATGGATACTCGGCTGGGTCACCTCAGTTTCTCCGATGGATCACCGAGCACACCGAACTTGTGCACAACCCACCTTACGCATATTGGGAGTCCATCATCACATGCGGGACAACCTCTGCAATTGAATTGGCGTTTAGACTTCTCTGTGACAGAGGAGACTGCATCCTAGTGGAGCAATACTCCTACCCCGGATCAGTAACAACTGCCAAGTGCTTGGGTCTCCAGATACTGGGTATCAAACTAGACGACCTTGGTCTCTGCCCTGATGATCTGGACAGGTAGCTTTGAAACTGGGATGTTCAACGTGGGAAGAAGCCTTTTGTGCTGTATACGATCCATTCTGGTCAGAATCCAACTGGAACGACACAAAGCCTGGACAGGCGCAAGGCTATCTACAATATTGCCGAGAAACATGACCTCTATATTCTCGAAGATGATCCCTATTTCTTTCTGCACCTTGGAGAGACTTCTGATCAGAGCTGTGGCTTGGATCAAGGTCTGGAGGTTTGGCTCCGCCAATTATCCCAATCATACCTGTCTCTCGACGTTTCCGGTCGCGTGATGCGTATGGATACCACCTCTAAGATGGTCGCGCCCGGTCTGCGTCTCGGTTGGATCACGGCAAGCTCACAGGTTGTTGAGAAGTTTGTGAAGCAAATGGAGTCCGGGCCTCTGGCACCTAGCGGAGTCTCACAGGCTATGGCGTATAAACTGCTAGATGAATTTTGGGGGCACAAAGGATTGTTCAACTGGCTGCACAGATTGTCTGCAGAATATCGCCACCGTCGAGATGTCCTTCATCGAGCTTGTCAACGCTACCTGCCTCTGGAGATTTCCCACTGGACCACACCTGTCTCGGGAATGTTCCTCTGGATCGAGTTTAGGTTGTCACAACATGCTGCGGCTGGGGACTATGACGCTGTTTTGATGGTGGAGGACAATATCTACAATTCAGCTCTTTCAAATGGTGTTCTTGTCAGCAGGGGAAGCTGGTTCGCGACTGATCTAGATCTCGACAAGGTTTGCTTCAGGCTGAGCTTTGCGAATGCTTCGGACGAGGAGTTCGATATTGCGGTAGGGTGTCTTGCCTCTGCTGCCAAGGAGCAATTGCAGCCCTCGTAATTTTCGATAGATTGCGCTATTAATAGAACACTGGGTCAACTCTACCTTCCATTGTTACGTGAAATCCGATCAAATTTTCATTCCCTGAGCTTATTTGACGGGCTAAAGTCTGATGAAAGCAACTAGAAACTCCTTTCGATGACACCGTATTCCTTTTTTCGAATGGAGATGTACACAAACACCTCGAATGCTACCTAGTACTGAGCAATAGTTTGACGTCAACACCGAGACATAATTTAGTTCGACTCGCAGAATTCCTAAACTTGGCTTGGGTACGATTCGTCTCCAATCAAAGACGGATGTTCAGCAAGAGTGTTCCAGAAATCCAACTCAAAGTCCTGGTAACCGCTATGCCGCCATGGGCTCCAAGGTTCGTGCAATTCTTCTGTTAGACTCTGGGGCTCAAGATCCCGAGGCGAGGCCTCACAGTTTTGGTGTCGTCTTTCTTGCTGTTGCTGTTCGCCTCTTCCAGGGAGCAAGCTCTGAAGAACACTAGTGATCGTTTGAGTAGCACTGGCTAGAAGTGCGTAGTTGGCATCCTCCGGCGCGACAAGTGTCCCCGACTCAACTTCGGCAACAAGAATTGCAAGGTTCTGGAAAATCTTGAACTGAACAGAAACATGTTGCTCGGCTAGAAACGAGGGCTGTAGCAAAGACAAACAAATAGTCCCAGCTGATGCTAGCCCGAAGTAGGAGACCTCAAGTAATTGTAAGCCAGGAAGTCACCATGGCACCAAGTTGAGTGCTCACCTTCCACACCAGTGACGTGCTGCCATGGGCCACTTTATCTTTGAGCATCAACGCCTCGATGACGAGATCAAACATCTCAAAAGCGATAGCGAATAAGTCGTTATCAGTTTCAAGAATATTCCGCATAAGTGCAAGCCTAACAAGGAACAGCATATGGAGGTAGTTGAGCTTAACATCGAGAAGGAGAGCTGTTTCGAGTGGTGTGCGGTCGCACAACTTGAGTTTTTCCTCAAGGCGAAAGTGTGGCGGAAGCAAAGCCCAGCGAGACTCAATCTCGTTTAAAATGAGCCTTGGACCTGGATGTTCATCAATGCCCTGACTGACCCGAGAGTAAGTTGAAACATACCTTAGTTTCTGTGAGCGATGCTCACTAGGACTCTCAGAGAAAGGATGGAGGACTTCTTCCTTGATTGCCGCACACGTTGCTGACCACTGAGCCTCAGCTTGGAAATCGAAAGGTGTAGTTGCATCCCACAGAGGTGATTGAGCCTCATTTTCCATTTGACCAGAGACGTTCAGGTAAGCGACATGAAATCGGCCGAACTTGGGGTGGATGCGTGGTGGTCTTCCCAAAAATATTGAGAGGTTCTTATCAGCAGTATACGAGTAGGCTTATGCGCTCTTTCACAGACTCGTTACGAAACCAGGTAGTGAGTTGGTGCTATCCATCTCTTCGTGATAGCCGAGCGCCAAGAGGCAGCTGATAAGGTCACCTAGCCTTCGCCAGGTTACGAGGCCTAATGCACACGTCAGATGGCCTGCGCAATAAGGAGGTGGGGATAGCTTACTCTGGTCCCCATCAATGAGTGAATGGATGATGTAGTTCTCGTACTGTAATACTAGATGAAGGTCGTTTAAACAGTCGAGTGAAAGGCATATATCAACGCAAGAGTCTGCAAAATGCATAAATAATGTCTGAACCCTGCAACGCTCGTTTTGAGTATCAAAAGGGGGCATCGCCCAAGACCGGCATGCCAAAAGGGCGCGGCTAACGGAGATGCAGAACAAGGCCAACGTTTCCCACCTGGCAGCACCCCCATTGAATTGACTGCAAAAGGCTTCTGGTGTGGTCGAAGTGACCACTTCCAAAGGTCGACAAGAGGACTTGAAGAGACTTGCGGAAATTTCGGCAGCATCAAATCTGTCGGATGAAGGTGATAGTAAATGCTCGGCGGTCAAGGTGCATTGTTCGGTGAAAGAGGCAGCCAGTGCAAGGTTTGCTCCAGTGCCAAGCCATGTCTTGACGAGTTTAAAACAGGAATGGAGATGTGGAAATCGGTAGAGTTGTTCAATCAGATCCGCACCTCGAGCTACCTGCGCTTCGTTGATCTGCTGTCCCGGTCTGTCGATCCGCTGTCTGCCGACGACGTTGCGTAGACCCCCTTGCTCTAGCGAAAGGTGTCCGAAGACAGTTGTATGGCTCGAGTGTCCCAAGTATCCTGGGTCTGGATATGTACGAGGCCTTACTAGGATGCTAGAAATATTGGGCTGTGGTGCGTTCCTGGGGACATGAGGACCATGACTGATGTAATTTGAGTCAATTGACGGTGCGATGGCATGGTCGTAGAAATATTATACTAACTCCGGATCAGGTTGTGATAATGCAGGCTCTACATAGCTACAGTGGCCTCGTTTCTTCTTGAACGGTCTTATGCGGTATGTGCAACTATCGGCGCGATCTCTCTCGGTGCATCGAGCGCAGACGGGCTGTCCGTGGTCGCATGCCATTTTGGAAGAGCGACAAGGGTCACAGGCCGGCAGTTTACGCCGCTTGACTGGCCCGGTGGGACTTGCTGAAACGACACTGGCCATCTTGTCACGGAGGCACTCGAGAAACTGGTACTAAGGGGGTTTGTGAAATGTCGTCACAGAATAGAGAGGAATTCAAAATGGCTCCGGGAATATGGTGAACAGCTTAGCCCTGGGAATGGAAGAGTGGAGACAACATGGGGTAATCGGAGTAGTCGGCTATTCGGCATAGCCTATCTACTCCGTATGCTTGACTTGATTCCGTACTGATTGGTTGTACACTATCGCATTGAATACTGTGTAGCAAGAGCGATTTGTATGTGTTGCAATGCAGGTTTCCAATGCATATGAAAACTCCGCGTAGCACACTACTCTCATCCACTGGGTACGGGACTAAGTCTAGGTAGATAGATCCAAGATAACTCCTCTAGCAGTAAGCTTTTCCAACTCGACCAACAAGATTTCCCCCACAGCCGATTCAATCAACAGGTAAGGCTGTAATAAAGACAATGAGGTCAAGAATCCCGGGAGTGCCGTGCTGACAGTTACCATGCCGGGATCCCGATCCTGGCGCCAATTCAGGAAATGATGCGCCAGAGCGTGGCGCTCTCTGCCGAAAACTAAGCTTTCTTCGGAGGGATTCGGTGGCATCCGGTCCCGAACTGGTAGTGCTGGTGCCGTAAGCCTCGTCTCAACGCGGCATCGACTTTCAAAAATACGGGGCTTTAGACTGCTGACCAACTGCGTGCGCTGGTGCCTGGGCTGACGCCCGACGGGATTTAGTCTGGATCGCCGCCCGTTGACTCGTATTAGCACACCGACGGTTCGTAAGATTGAGGGAGGCACTAATACACTAGGTTTCGTCCAAGCCTTCGATGTCGCGTCACGGTCCCTCAAGGTCATGCTTCGTCCGATGTTAAAAGGCCTTGGCTTCGCAACTTAAGTTCAATACTTTGGACGGCTGGTATGCGCATTTACAGACAACAACATCCATCATGGTCAACTTCAACTTTGTTACGTTGCTTGCAGGACTTTGCGCCTCAGCAGCGATTCAGGATGCGGTCAAAAGAGAGGTCTCCTCCGATGGGTGCAAACAGGAACTACCGAGTAACCGATCAGCTGGGCACGAGTACCTGATACCCTACAAGGACGATCAAGGTCATGACCGAGACTATTTGCTGTTCATCCCACCAAAATACTCCAAAACGAGTCCCAACCCGATAATCTTTTCATACCATGGAGGAACCAAGACTCCCGAAGAGCAAAGGGATTTGGATCTTCTAGAAACGGCGTATTTCAATAAGGACCATATTGTTGTGTATCTTCGGGGTTATGAGGTAAGAGCCTTTGCGCACAATATCGCGGACAACGATGATTGACCAAACTAGGGACGATGGGAGGGCGTGCCCAATATTACACCGCGAAATGACGTCCTCTATACCAACACGGTGCTCGACGATCTTGAGTCGGCATACTGCATCGATAAATCTCGCGTATTCATGACCGGAAAGTCCAACGGAGGTGGCTTCACCAACTTCGCCGCATGCAACAAACAACTTTCGATGCGCTTTGCTGCTTTCGCCCCTGTGTCTGGGTCATACTACATCGAAAATGTGACGGACTGCGACCCAAAGACCGTGAAGATTCCCTGCGACGCTGGCAGGACGAACATTCCAATGATCGAGTTCCACGGCGGCATCGACGGCACTATTCCGTATAACGGCAGCGATAGTCGACGAGGAGCGTGCTTGCCAGACGTCTTCCACTGGGTCACGGAGTGGGCGGTCCGTGACGGTCTTGGAGAGAAGCCGACTGAGTGCAACATCACCTCTAGGGCACAGAGGTATCAATGGGGTTCAGGAGATAAGAAGGGGTTGGTGACTCATGTGTTTGAGAAAGATGTCGACCACAGCTGGCCTTACACCGGAGCCAATGACGACAACAAGGCCCACGGAGATGGTCCGGCGTCGTACAACGCCTCGTCGTACATCGTGGACTTCTTCTCGAAGCACCCTCTCAATTGATCTACAACGGAGGTGTATTTACTTTCATCAGTATATACTTTGAATGGACATTTTATGATGATGTAACTACCACAATATTCATGACATGCATTCGCAAGTGAGCATCAGCTTCCACCATCACCACCCCCGCCTCCACCTCCACCGTCACCGCCACACCCGCCGTCTCCTCCTCCACTTCCTCCATCTCCTCCGCCTCCTCCATCACCGCTGCCACCGAAGTCCCAAGTGCCCCCGTCAAATGGTATGTCAAGCCCCTCAAACACATAGTACCTTCCTCTAGTTCCTACTCTTCTCTCTTTCACAGGATTCATTCCACCTAGAATCCATTGGACTTTAGCTCTAGCAGGGTGTCCCGGTGGAACAATAGCCGCGTCTGGGAAATACCCTTCCATGCCACCTTGGTGCAAAGAGTATTTCTTGTCATACCAGATGCCGTTCCTCTTCTTCCACTCTAGATCAGTCTCTCCCAAAGTCCGCTTAGCTGCCTCGGCCGAAGCCATCGGCTCATAGTCTATCAGTCTCCCTGCCGTAGTGAAACTCCAAACCCAGTAGCTGGCTGGGTAGAGGCGATGCGTATGCCAGAGAAAATCCACCATCAGGTTGGGAGGCACGAACTCGCGATTCCTCGGCTCCGACATGATAGCCCCACGTACTGGGAGCGCATCCATATCGAGCTTCCATGTATCCTTGTAAGGTGCCTTTTTCATCGTCGGAGGTATTCCATGGAGCTTGATGAATCGTTCGTAATCCCTCAAGGACGCCGCCAGGTGTTGTCGCGAGGCGAAATCCGGATCCGAGTCGCGTGCCCTGTGTACAGCCTTCCAAAAAGCGACTTGACGGTTGAAGACCTCTGCAAGATCCTCCACGTTTTGCCATGGCGTCAACTCGCACCGATGTCCGGATAGACTATGCTGCGAGGATTTGATACATGGCATCTTGCATTCTCGTCTCCTCAGGGACGTGTAGTCCCCCACTAAACATGGTTTTATGAGTGGAATCCGGCACAGTCTTCCGTAGAAACATAACTGTCTCTGGATAATGTCATCCGCATCAGGACTTTCCGTTGGTGTATCTTTCTTGGAAAACAGGGACGATAGCCGGGACTTGCGCCTGCTCTCCCAAGGCGGCGATGGCCACAGCTGAAATGGAAGCCGTGGGCAAGCTGGCTTCCTTTGCCAACGATCCCATTCTTTCTGGCTTTTACTATCCGACCATTTGCCAGCCTGATAGAGTCGCACCAGTTTCGTGACTGGAAATTGGTGGTGGTTCAGGCCGTAGGATATGTGATCGTTGTCCCAGAGATGCCGGTGGAAATGGTATGGAGATAGTAGGTGGCAGTACCAGATCATTGCAACGTCCCTAGAGTCCTTGTCAGTCTATTTCATCGGCCCATTAAACGTGTCTGGGTCACTCTGGGAGAAACGGACCATGGCGGTGGGCAGTCGTATGCTGAAACCCCCTTCAGGTGCAGGAATCGTATGTAATTGATGTAACGCCATTCTGAGTATGCCAGAGCTTCTTGCAAAATCTGGCCCTCTTCCTCTGTCTGGAAGTGGGGGATAAGTTTCATAAATATCTCAATGAGTTCGAAGTGTTTCTATGTTCAGTTAGCATCTAGTACTCTGTGGGCACGGCAATGCCCCTCTATTACTCACCAGGGACACGGTCTCGAGCGGAATTTTGGCCTTATCCTTTGGCCAAGGATCTTCAAAAACAGTGATCGGGGTCATCTTCAACTAGGAGAAGCGGATAGATTTGCAGAAGGTCAGATCTGAGGTCATCTCGGGGGCGTCTACACACGATCTCTTTAATGCTGTACGGATACGAGCCTTTGAGTCAATGAATGACCGCCAAGTCGTTAAATAGCGGCGGACATTCCGCGCTGGTGTGCCTAGCGGACGTCGCACGTTAATCCCGCATTCAGCTGATCGCTTGCACTAAAACTCACACGGGAGAATGGGTTTAGCGTATCAAACCCCGGTCACTACCGCCCGATTGAGGCTGTTCAGTGTCATTCATGTCACTGATTGAGCTTGGTGTGCTTCTGTAAACGCAGCACAAGGCAGATTCGCTCGCCCTGTTTTTCTTTTCCATTGCCCGATTTCTAAGAACAACACCGGGCAGGGTTTTGTCTCTCCAAGTTTCGGTGTCCATGGCAATTGGGTACAGCTTCATGATCACGACCGCATCGGAGATTACAAGCAGGCACTGAGTGACTTGATTTTCATGGCCATCTGTCCGCAAAGCCTAAAGTACTTGACAGCTCGAAAATGCACATTGTCCTACCAAGACTCCGCCCTTTAGGGTGCCAAACATTCTTGCTGGCCATCCGACGCACCCACCCGCAGAGCTTCGTAGGGAATGATGTTCACAACACCCACCAGCCCATTCTCTGTTTTGGGAATCATATCAACAGAAAGGGTTTCTCCAGGCCCAAAAGGCGTCGCGCCCAAATTTTTGATGTCCCCTAGAATGCTACGGAGATAGTTCCACATCGTGCTAGGAACTATCGCAAGAACACGATTGTCTCCTTCAACAAGATAAGTCGAGATATCGGCGACAGGATTAGTCGGGTCGAGAGGATGCACGCGGACACCATTGACTTCCAAAGTGATCGAATTCAGAGCCGGAGAGAACTGAATGTAGGCACCGACCGATGCATTCGCTTCAGCGGATAGGTTGGGTGGCCAGGTGAAGTTGGCGAAGTAATAGCCAACACCAGACGTGTTGGTGGCTGCTGGAATCTCCGTCCAAGATACGAGACCGTCGAGATGGTGCGTGGTGTTCCGCTTAACTGCTGCCACTGCTGCATCGTACATGTCTTCGGGGGCTTCCCAATGCTCCAGGACCAGGTCCCAAGAAGTAAGTTCGAATGACGACGCCGCATTTGTTGAATAGCAGAAGTTGTCGCCCGTTGATAACGTAAGAGTTGTGGGATCTGCGGACGCAGCAGCATGGACGACGATCCCCTGGTCATCTGCGCGATAGCCCAGAACATTGTCAGAGAGCTTCGTAAAGTGAAGCTCAGGTGTCACAACGTCTTCAAGGCAAGAATCAGCGAAGCCGATGATCTTGGTCTGGTTTCCTGCTAGAGTGAGAGGGATAGTCGTCGTCGAGCCTTCCGTCATGTAGTACAACACCGGCTCTCTAGCTCCCGTCCAGGCATCAAAGAAGTAAGGAATTCCTCGAGTTTGCACAATGAGCTCTCCATTTGAGTACTCAGCGTCGCTGAAGACATATGCATAGCTGATGTTACCGGAGGAGTCCTGGCGCCAGGTGGTATGCCATGTTCCGTTCGTCTTGACGCCAACTCTTGGTTTGAGACCGAGTCCTTCCAGCTTCTCAGCGATTTGGCCCTCTGCAACCTGGTAGACAGAGCTGATATTAAGAAGCTTCTGCAAGCTGGTGTCGAAAGAAAAGCTGACATCGGATGCTTTATTCTCGGTCGGATACTCGCAGGGGGAGCCGCCAGCAATTATAATGGGCAGCCCAGCTTCCGCAAACTCAGTGAGCTTGAGGAGACCCGATGAGGTAAGATTCTGTGATTCAAGCACTACAAGCGCTTGGTATCTTGCATCCTGGGGCGCGAGCAAGTTATCCCCTACGTATGCTTGTGGGAGGGCAAAGTTATCAGGAGACAAATAGTTGTAGGACCACCCTGGATATAGTTAGTAATCGCAACATGACTCCTGCGACATATTCCAGCATACCTTTCAAGATAAGATCATCAAATGTATAAAGTGTACCCATATTAGGATCTGTTGCTGTCTGTTTGTTGTAAAACGCAACGTCGGTTCTTGGGACGCCTGTTTGCTGGATGTGCTGAACCCTGCCCATGTGGTCCAGCCCAGCTTGAAGGCCATGGTCCCAGTCGGGACGTTTGGGAGAGTATAAATCGGAAACGTAGTATCTGAATGCCGTGTATCCAGGCCAAGTTGTTTGAGGGTAGTTTCCCGAATATGATTGCCCATGAATGACGAACTGGTTGACCCCTCCCGCTACAGCGCGGTTCATGGCGAAAAGCAGATCTGGGATGGTGAAGCGGTATGCACTACCAAACACCGCACCAAGCTCGTTGGAAATAACGGTCTTCCTTGCCAGACTGGCTGGTCCCGAGAACTGCCTGTACCCATCGAGGTTATCGTGGAATTGCAAGCTTTCGCACTCAGGAGCGTCGACAAATGGGATGGATGCCTCCATATCCATAGGTAGGTTGTATGAAACCTGCGAAGATAGGCCTAGACCAAGAGAGTGTGTCCAATTCGCAAGAGTGGTCACGTACTCCTGGTAGCCATCGGCGAGCGCAGCACGGTAGTCGTTGACGTAGCCCTGGCCTTTGTCATAAATATCTAGAATACATCGTGTATGGCCGGGAGCATCATTCTGGAGGTTGATATTGTTGTTGTTGAATATGATGAGAGGGAGGTAGGGGCGCAAGTCGTAGCCAAAGAGTTTCTCAAATCTCTCGGGAAGGGTCCGTGTCCACGATGTGTCAGAGAGAATTTCCATACTGTCCTCCCAGCCTGGATAAAAGGTCAGTCAGACACCACCACGAGCAGTTCTTTTACTTGACTTACCGTAGTTTCCAATCTCCGTGAGAAGCTCTTTGACGTTGTCGACGAAAATGTACTGCTCCCAAAAGCCACGGACAACCTCGGCGCCTTTGCTACTGAAGTGGTCGACAACGTAGGACCCGTTGTCCCAGATTGCCTCGGTTCTGTTAGATGCAAAGACTAGGTTCTTGTGTCCAGACAAATTCTGGTAGAAGAAAAATAGTTCGTAGTCAGACGCGTTGGATGAGCTGTTGGGGAGATCGATTGAAAGTTCGCCAGTAGGTGAGATCATGGAAGTGATGTCTCTCAAGGAGCCATTCCGCAAGACCAATTCCTCCCACCAAATTTCTGCCGTCCCGATGATTGACGTTGTGTTGACTGTTACGTTTGTTCTGGATGTGACAATTGCTGACACAGCGGAGACGAGCTGCCCGGTTCCCCATCCCGGTATGGTGCCGTTGAAGTGCCCATCGGCGGTAACGGCCTGTGTCTCGGCGAACTTTGAATGCTTAGTGAACTTCGAGAACCCCACATTGTCAAAAACACTTACCAGATCCCATTGAAGACCTTCATTGCTAGGATCAGCAGGTACGCCCTGACCCTGGTTCGGACCAACCGCAAAGTCCATCGACAGACCAGATTCTTTGTGGGCCTCGAGGCCTGTGATGAGAGTCTTGATGAAGTCTGGGGTTCCGAAACCAGACGTCGACCAGTTAACCCCCACAGGCGGCGGTCCTAGCTGGCCGCCATAGTTGTAGAAGGGCAAGAACTCGACTCCTCCCGCCCCGATGTTGCCAGCAGACTGGATGTCTGACTTGACCTTTTCGGGATCAACGGTGCCATCGGGAAGCCAATATCTGAACCTGGGTCGTTGGACAGCAGGAGGATCAAAGAAGTCATTACTGCGATCTTGTCGGGCGGCTTGACAAGGGCCGAACAGCATAAGACCAGCGAAAACTTGAATACATGAAACTATCTTCATTCTGCAGGATGATTGGAGAAATTTCCTCTGTAATGTGCATGTTTCTAGACTGAGGTAAGTGGCAATAGCCAGATCTATATAATAATGTCCCATCAAGATGATTCATACAATTGCGATGGACCTCTTCTCATCGACAGTTGTTGCTTGTCTTTTGCTTCGCATTTTCGGCTCAAATACGGGCGAACTTGACATCATTACGGAGAGCGGTGTCACTTCAAGTTCAAAGACTAAATGGCGGGGGACAGGACTTGCACATATTCTGCGAATACGCGTGTATCGTATTATTTTCTGCGTCATCAAAGTGCCACCTGACTCTAAACGAGACCACAGCCAATGGAGCATCACCGGTATCTCCCATGACTGGGAGGTGCTCCGATCTTCAGCGACACCTTGTCCATTGGTGTACCCCTGTTCAGCTGCATATGCCCATTCAGTTGCTCGTGTGATCCTCCTTCATGGTAGACTGCCGCCATCACCACCGCAAGACTAACGCGATACCGATAATTCCCCACGATATTCGATGCGGGGAAACGCAACATCATGGAATTCCCCGAGAGCTACCATGACATTATCTCGGCATCCACTTCCCCGGGACCAGTCGTTACTACTTGTCAATATACTCGGGTCACCACCTCGCTTTATATTTTCCTCAACGAGAATTTACAGAAGGTTTTCCCGACAGGGCTGTCAGAAGATTCAATCAATACAGCCGAGCTGCTCATCTGAAATTACAGGGCACACATCCAATAATCAAAGACAGATTGATGTATCCGCTCCAGGTTAGCTGCCAGATTTTCAATGCACAATCCCGACCCCGAACCGGCGGTAAAAGTCTGTCACGAAGTCGGGATCCGCCTTTGCAGGACTGAGTACCACTTGAGCTCCTTTACCTTCCAGTTGCTCTTTCATCTCCTGATTCATGTCATCTTGAACGACTTCAACGACAATTTCTTGCAAGTTTGGCAATCTCTCCCCCCTCCCTTCCTCAAAGCCGTCAAACAAGGCTGCCAGGCATTTCTTCAGCTGGTCAGAGGAATCTCTGCTATGATCTCCCACCGGTTCGGTCTGAAAATGGAACTTCTCAAGGGATGGCGGCAGTAAATCGAGGGCTCGCGGCGCCGCCATCTCGTCCAACGGGCAAACGTCAGGGGCATCTGCGACTTCATACTCCTCGTTGACCTTGTCGAATTCTGGTCCCATCAAGGTGAGACCATCAATGTGTAGTGACTTGAGTCGTTTGAAGCCCTTCATATCGACTAGTGTTCGGCCGGCGGTGCCATAATGAACCATCATCCACATGGATAGCTCCTCCAAGGTCTCACCAGTGCATTCCATGATTGCGTTCATCATCGCGCCAGCGTCAAGGTTGTGGCCACACCCGTGCCACTTCGTCTCGTACGCAAAGTGCAAGCACTTCAAGTTCGGCAAGCGCGAAAGCAATTCGCGCATCTCTTCTGGCCCGAAGGTGCACCCCACGAGCTCCAGTCTCTCAAGGCGTGGACTGTACTCTGGGTATTCGGGATCGAATGGCATTCCAGTGTATCCGTCATCGAGTGCAATACAGCCACCAATGTAAGCCTCGCGAACGGATTTAATAGCCAAGAAAGGGGTGTTGACCGTCATCTCGTTCCTGCATTCATACCCAGTTCCCGCAAACGGTCTGTAAACTTCCAACTTGGATAGACCTGCTTCTGCAATCGTCGGGTCGTTTGCACGTCGCACAAGAGCATCCAAGACCGGCCAGATGATCTTCCGATCGGAGCGTGGTGTCTCTTCTCCATAGCGAAGATGTTCTGAATTTCGGCCGGGGAGGTGGTCCCAACTTTGTGGCAGCGCAAGCTCACGCACGTTGGTGAGAAGCGTCAACAGCAACACCTCGGCATGTCCGGACGTATCGTCGAGCATCCCCGAAAGCCAAGCCTCCGAATCTACACCAGCCTCCGCCAGATAGTGCGAGTCATTCAAAAGATTCCGAACTTTGTCGATGAGATCTTCATTCTTGATGCGCGGGAAAATCGGATGGAGCGCCGGGTTTTCATCAACCAGGTCATCAGGGGCATCCGTCATCCCCACGTTACCCTTCAGGTCGGCCGTTTCGATATATCGAGGAATCACTGGGTTGCGGACGATTTCCTGGATGAGTTCGGTGGCACCCTGAACTTCAATGCCAGTCTCCTGGGTGACAGGGTCCCAATGCCCCTTCCAGGTGTGCCTCGGCCTGCTATCAACTAGTGAGCAGTGATTGCTGGAGATAATTGGGACCTTAACCTACCCTCTCTGCGATAACAAGGTGTATTTTGAGTAAGAAAAGTGTTTGTATCTCTTTCGGAGGCGTTTGTGCTCGTCTAGATAGATTTTGCTTGCATTATGCAAGGAGGTGCATGTGACTGCGACATTCTCGATGGACTCGGGGATGGTCTCTTTGATGATGCGTTGAAGTAGCTCGAGTGGGAGTCCTAGCAACGTCATTGTGTTTTGGTAGCAGAGTGAAATTCAACAATCTGACAATGATGTTCCGAAATAATCGTTCTAGCCAAGTTCAAATGGACGTTGAAGATGTTTTGTAGTTAAGAGTGAATGTCAATGCGGCGGTGACGTCCTGAGCTGCCCCGCATTCCTTCGAGGCAGCAGCTGCGATTTAGCTCAATCCTTCAGCCACTGATCTCCACCAAGTACTCTCCATGTGAAGGCAGCGCTAGGCAGGCGCTGTGTGCAGACCGTCCGATATCAACCAGTCACCATAGGAGTGCTGTTTCGGATGAGCCTCCTACCAATGGTAAGGTTCTGTCACATTACCTACCTTCAAGTTCCCAATAGGATCAAAGCGTCTGCCTAATTGATCGGTTGAAAATACGAATCGTAGACGCATGGTATTGCTAGCGCACCATCTCTTGCTGTGCGCAAGTTGGGATACCAACTGTGAAAGCTGGATGAAAATTGAATCTTGTCGTTGCAAAGAAGCGAACCGACACTTTCCTCCAATCCTCTTCGTCCTTAACTCCCATTTCGTACTGGAGGACCTTATCATTGGTGATAATTACGCAAATTGAAATGGTCTGACTTCGATATCTCAAAGAACTTATGCTCGAAGACCTGAAAAGCCTGTTTGTTGATCATGGGAAAGCGCACACGCACTTGCACTGGTTGCACGACATGAAGCTCGTGGCGTTAGTGATCACTTGCTTGCCACCTCCATGAAAAGTTCCAGCCGCATTGTTCACATTTTGGCCACTTGATCTAGCAAACAAATGGCAAAACCAACGCGGGGCAAGAACCCTTTTCGAGACGCTCGCGCGGGCCCGTGAAACAATTTAATTATCGTTAATGATGTTTGCTGAAAGCAAACATTCGCTTGATGATTATCTTCATCTACATTTCTAGCTGCGACAGCTGTTGAATAGGGGACGCGAAAGGGGGAAGGGATTTCAGGGAGTCGGTACGTTGTCTAACTCTCATTAAGCGACGGTGTCGGAGAATCGGAAGGTATTGCGGTCTGGCCAGGTGTTGTCGCCGAAGTCGACGCGATGTTCCATGAAAGCACTCGTCATAAGTGAAAGCCTTATGCGGCAGCCAGCTCGGCCCGTTAGTCACGCCTTACATCTGTGGTGTGTTGGAAACCGTAATTGTAATCCTCACCTCTGAAAAGAGTAACTGTGAAACCTAAGTTCATTCATTGAGCTGCAGTGACGGCTGTGTATGTGCAACCCAACCTTGAGCCGGAACGGAGCGAACTTCGGTGATATTGGATGATCATCTTCACCCCTTGCCTGTTATTTGGTTCCAGTGCAGGGTGTGAGAGTGCAAACATCCTAGCAGAAAGTCGTATGGTCAATCTGTCGGCTGGGCTGACGAGAACCATAAATACTGCTGCTCATCCTGATCAAGTTCTCGGAATCCCTCCTACCACGAAGGAACACCGACCAGTCACAGTCAGGAGACCTATCTGCATACGATCTTCTCCTCCAACTCACTGTATTTGAAGCCCTCTCATAATGCATTTCACTTCAATCATTGCCCTCGCTCTCGGCTGCGTTGCCTCGGCGTCGCCGGTCCCTCAAGGACATAAGGAGGCTTTCAGACTCCCTCAAGAACCCACTAATGCCGTCAAAGTTTGATGTCAACTTAATGCGTGAGTAACTTGCCCCAGTGTATGCACCGAGGAGAACAGGTCACTAAAGCTCTGAGGTTGTATTAAAGTCAACGGTTACGGGGCATGTTCCCAGTGCCTCATCATGGGTTTTTTGCGAACTGCTTTCAATTTCTTCCAACATGAGAGTATTGCCGGCTGGACTGCTTGGTTACTTGAAGGAGGTCGAATCAGTTGGAATACCTTATGACGACCAGTTTTCGGGGTCATTGGTTTGCCTGAACGTTCAAAATCTCATATGTGCTGTTTCTTTCCAAAAAATTGGGACCTAGGGACCTTTGAGCAGTTACTCTCAGTGAGATCATAGTATGAGGGGTGGTACATTCAACAATCGTTGTTTTCTTCTAGGGGGCTGTTACATGATATGAAGGCGCTTTAGTTCATCTGTTTGCGACTATGGTGAAGATTTACTCGTTCATGAATGCCATAAGAGCCTATGCCGCGATTTGGGACCATTTGAGCATATGGCTCACATGTATTCTTCACGGCCGAGCCTGGTATCATCCATCCATAAACTGAATCGCGCGGTTCATGGTACACATCATCTCTCTAATGCGTCAAAGATGGATGCATTCGGACATATCGTATTCTAGAAAGTCGTCACACCATCAGAGGTTTTCTTCAGAAACGATTCCTTCTCAGTACAGAAAAGGACGGCAAAATAATAAAGCAGCACTAGAAGCAGTGATAACAATTTTGATACTCCCGCCTGAAATGTAGAAATATTTCATGGAGATGACGGAAAACGAGAAGTAGGAAAATGGACCAATTCGCATGTGACATTTGTCAGCTGTCATTACAGCGGCACTCTTGAAGACATGTCGTGCCCCTGAGAAGAAAAGAAGTGAGTTCTGACACAAGCATTCATGGCAGCTCTTGGCAATTGATAGAGCCTGCGGGATCCGCTTGGTGGAGAAAAGGCCCAACTTTCAAGCCCAGGCTTCTGCAGCCAAGAAAGACAGAATTGAGGCTCATCATTGAAACCTTCCAAATCCCGCAATCGAGAAACAGATCCTGTATAGTATTCATGGAAAGACAGATAATATGCATCGGAGAAGTCCTATCTTGGATCGCGATTGCGGCTGAAATGATGATGTCAACTTAGGCTCGGACAAGAGCCGAAGGCATGTTCGAAATAGGAAAGAGCTCTTGAGATAGGAAAGCTAAGCGGGCGCAACTTCTCGGCGTTATTGGTGATATTGTGGACTCTGGTCGTTGAAAAAAAGGGGTTGAGATTCCTGAAATGTTCACAGGCATGACGAGCTGTTTTGAACAAGCAGGTGCTCGAGAATGAGTCGCATCGCTCCCAGGGGCCACGACAATTGCGATGGTCCCAATACGAGGTCCAAAATGCACGTTTTCTCTACCAGAGCGAGAGGATATCTGACTAGGATTCATACTGTTGACCAATTGGGTCGTTCTCTGCCTGAAAGTTGAGGACTATCAGTACCTCTTCAGAGATGCACAATCGTGTTGCTCGTGCCCGGAGTACTCCGTCTATGAATTACCCGGTTCTCTATGAACGAAGGAGGTGTTAACAACGGGAATGTCCACCCCCGGACAGCCACTATCACTTTCGCCAACATTGTCGCATGTGCAATGATGAAGGATTCTTGGCCGACGGGTCCCAGCGACCCTTTGTATGAATACGCGGATCGGTGTTGTCGGACACGCGATTCCTCAACATTCGATGAATTTCGCATTCCGCGGTACAACCATAGTTTGGAAAACTCTCTACAGGCCTAAAAACGTCATAATCAGGGAATTACAGGCCTCACGCATTCGCGATTCGCATCAACGTCTCGAAATAAATGGCGGCTGTCCAGGTTTTTAAATAGAGCAAACTTTCGCACCAACAGCTCAAACGCGCCCTCACTCACCCGGAATAGCGACGACCATGGGGCTGAGAGAGAGAAATTCAATCTGTGACGCATGCCTGCCTACCGGTTCATTTTGCCAAGTCGTGGATGCCGTGGGGGTGATGAAACCTGCGCAAGGACGATTGCAGAGTGTCATTGCTACCACCAAAAAAGAGACCTCAGGGGACGGAGTTGCAGTTATATCACAGGGCGGATTTAACCTTCTGGAAGGTGCTGAGTGCAGTTCTCCTCACACCTAAATTTTGGACAGCCCACCTGTAAATCCTTGATTCTTGGTACGCGAGTGGGCTGGACGGTCGGGTGCCTGGCCTAGATTTGTAGATCAATATGTAGCTCCCTGCGCGGGTTTCATTAGTGTGGACTCGATCATTACCCACCTCTGTCCGCGCCCATGGTTGGCTCTCACGTCCTTAATCCAGACCGCTTGGCATCTCACGAGATTAGAGCTTTCTTTTTCGTGATGGTCCTCCGCCGTCGACTTGCCTCATTTGTATCCTACGGCGGAGGAAACCGGAACCGTCCCGGTCGGTCATGAGCCGGACCAAACTTGGAATGAACTTGGGAATGCGGGGATTTCTTTGTTTTTTCTGCGCATGCAAGTGTCAAGAACATTCCGCAGCCCACATTAGCCCCGGGCCTCATGTCCGATGACGGGGCGCTCTCCACCGGATCCGTTAGCATTGTGGTGGCCCGGAAGGATGCTTTCGAGGCTTCGGACGATCGGCCGTCGACCGAGATCGACTCGGCTCGCTAGGCGTTGTCTCTCGGCTGCCCGGTAGCTCGGAGCTGTGAATAGAATCAGAGTTGAACCGATACTCGTTGCATCGAAGGGGAGGCCGTGTAGCTTAAATGCAACTATAGACATGGAGGTGCTGTGAGCTCTGGGGCGGGCAAGCTCTATCCGAGCCATGGGAGTCGATCGCAGGCCTGCGCGAATGGATCTGCTATGGAAGCGATTGGACTTGGTGATCCCGACGCGCTCCCACCTTCCAGAAAAACTCTGCGCTCCGTGGCTGGCTGCCCGGGTTGAGCTCTATGTATATGCATGGATGGTGTAGTATGTCGCATTTCTGCTTTTCAATATGCGTAGGGCGTTGATGGTGATTGACAAATAATTCCCGGCTGCAAGTGTCTTGCAAAAACAAGGTAGGACATGGTGTTCAAGCAGGGAGAGAAGCGAGTTACACGAGCAAGAAGCGGCTCTGAAGACAAATTTGGAAGCTCCTGTGCAGTCTACTACCGATGACTCGCCAACTCAGTAGTAGAGTGTCTACAGAACACGCTGTAGAGAGCGCAACATTAGCAATGACCAGATAGTAGACCGCCTAGGTCTATCAGTTGATTTTACGCTGATCGTTGCCCTCCGGATTTGTAAGACGAGTCAAAACCCTCGTTATCGTTTAGAGAAGAAAAAACGGAAAAACTTGGCCTCAACGAGACAGCGTCACAACGGGCGGCTCTCACGGAAGACAAGACTACTTGGCAACTGACACCGCCTCCCGTGGATTGCGAATCTTGCATCAATTTTCTCTTGTGAAAAAATGCTTGTCTTGACATTTGAGGCTCCGCCACGATATTCTGTCGCGTCCCGGTCGCCACCACCACCCACCGGGAGCATATTAGATCCGCGTGGCTTTGGAAGACATCGCGGGGACCGCGGCCTCGTCCGCGATAGGTCCGACTGGCAATGCCTTCTAGGCAACCCCATGTTCGACCTCGGGAGTTTTCGCGATAGAAAAAGCGGGATGTTGTTGAATGGAATGCAAGTGAATTTTTTTCTTTCACAGTTACTCTTTTTGATTTCGGAAATGCCCCAATTGAAGGAAAAAACTGGATGGAGTTGTCGAGCCAAATCTCGCTTTCAAAATACGTCATCACGGATTTGGTAGGTAGCATTGTAATGAGCACCCGGAAATGTGACCTACCTCTTGCGCGAACCGAGGGAGGTTTATCCCTGTTTTTGAAGAAGAAGAAAATGTAGAAGTGTTTCTCAGACACCGGACGATTCAAGCATGATTTTCACTCAACAACAAACAAAAAAACAAACGATCAAGGGAACAGGAAAAGGGATGAACTGTACTAGCACAGGACCAAGCCTATGCACTGGGGAATCGGGGCATTGGTCACGCAGTGACAGACACGTGGGTTGCTTGCTTCACCGCACAGTAAATGATGAAAAGTTGGGATTCACTTGCCTCGACTCTTCTTCACCACGTCGGAACTCGACCGAGCCTCCGAGGCCAAGATCGTCTTTAATCGGGAGCAGCAGTTTGTCCGTGACGTGGGATTCTTCAGGGACCGGGCCAACAAACTCATCCAGACTTCCGGGACGGGCTCCCTCGCCAGGCGCAGCGTCACAACCAACACTGTCACCACCCGCGCGCTTGCCCACACGGCGGACCCCATTTTCTCCCTCGCGTAGCCCTGAACCGTCATCAGGTCGCAGCCATCACCCACTGCGACGACTTGGCTCATTACTTGGCTGACTTATTATTCAGCTATTACACAGGCGAGTTATAGCGCTAGCATGTCTCCTGCCAGGGCGAGTCAGTTTCCCGTCACATCCCTGTATCCAACTGCCAGGGGGGCTCGCTTGTAGAAGACTCCAGGAGAACACTGTAAAAAACGTGAAACTGGCTCGATCCCGTCTGTCGTCCATCAACTTGATACGTCAGTCGTGCGCCCATGGATCGCGGACGGTATTTGCTGGCCCACCGTCCAAGATCTGATAACGGTCTTCTCCCCGGATCAGGAGGTCGCTTTTGCACCGTCACACTTGGCAGCGGGTCGACATCGTCTATCTGAGTTCAAACCACCGTTGTAATCCCTCCGTCACTCTCTCGTGACAAGGCACTCAAGCTTCCGCATTAGGTCTATCGAGCGACCCGCCCCGTCCAGCTTCGCTGGGACTACCGAGTGTCACCCAACCCCGACATGTCCGAAAAAAAATCAAGACCGCGCCCGTTTTGCCAAGACATGCTTCCCTGGATGCAGACAGCTTCTCCCATCGGGCCTTCATGCGACGGGAAGGAAGTCACTTTCATCCCAACATTGGACGGGGCACCCGGGCCCATGGATGCACCGCTCAACAACACCACACCCATGGCGCACGTCATGGAGCTGGTCACTTGGGCGAAGCGTCTGGCCCGCTCCGATGCCCGAATGCGGACTTGATCCAGAAGCCTCGGAGGGATGCCAAGAAGGTGAGGTTTATAGTAAGGAGAGGGGGGTTGACAGCTCGACGTCGTGGCATCGCGGCGGAATGATAAATAGCCTCGCAGGGCCGCGTATTCTTGCTGTTCAGAAAAAGATCTACCTCATCGCATCCGTGCTTGACTGTCATCACTCACCACCATTCACTCATTATTGGACAACATGCGCGCTGCTCTCATCACCTCCGCCCTGGCGACCGGCGCCATCGCCGCCCGCCCGTTCCTGAACGAGCCGGATACCGGCATTGATGGCGTCCTGCCTGACCTCCAAGTCGGCAGTCTGCCCAACCTCACCAACATGGTCGGCCTCCCTGACTTCGAGTTTGCTGCCCGCAACTACCTCCCCCTCCGCAACTACACCTACTACCGCAACGGTGCCGCCGGCGAGTGGTCCTACCGCAACAACCTGGAGGTCTACAACCGCTACCGCCTCCGCCCCCGTGTCATGGTCGACATCACCAACATTGAGCAGACCCTGAGGTAAGTCCAGGCTCCCTCGCGCAGTCATCAGACGAACCGTTTCCACGGTTGCGCATATGATCATGTCAAAATACTCTCATGCTGACTCGTGTAGCACCACCATCCTGGGCCACAACTTCTCTGCCCCCATCTTCATCAGCCCCTGCGCCCGTGCCGGCTATGCCCACGAGGATGCTGAGCTGAACCTGATGAAGGCCGCTGGCAACGAGAACATCCTGTATATGCCTTCTCTGTACGCCTCCAAGACCATCGAGGAGATCGCCGCCGTCAAGAAGGAGGGTCAGGTCGCCTTCCAGCAGATCTACCTGACTGCCAACGACACCGAGACGCAGGCTCTCTTCAAGCAGATTGAGGCCTCCGGCGCCAACGGTGTCGTCTACACCGTCGACTCTGCCGCCGATGGCAACCGTCACCGCGCCGCCCGCTTCGGTGTCGGCTCCGCCGACTCTGAGTACTCCCTCATCACCTGGCCCGAGTACCACCGCCTGGCCAACATGACCAAGCTCCCCTTCATCATCAAGGGAATCATGAGCGTCGAGGACGCCGAGGCCGCCATCGAGAACAACGTCCCCGCCATCATCCTCTCTAACCACGGTGGTCGCCAGCTTGACGGCTCCCCCTCTTCCCTCGAGGTCGCCATCGAGATCTACGAGAAGGACCCCGAGATCTTTAAGAAGATTGAGATCTACGCCGACGGTGGTGTCCGCTACGGCGCTGACGCCCTCAAGCTCCTTGCCCTCGGTGTCAAGGCCGTCGGTATGGGCCGTCCCTTCATGTTCGCCAACGTCTTCGGTGAGGAGGGTGTCACCAAGGCCATCCAGATGATCAAGCACGAGCTCGCCATCGACGCCGCCAACCTCGGTGTTCCCGACCTCAAGAAGATTGACGCCAGCTACGTCAAGTGGACCCCCAACAACTGGTACTCTTAAACGTGCCAGGTAGCACAATGTCGCGAGGGAGGGTTGTTCCAGGAAGTTCGCACGACCTACTATGATACCACATGAGTTTTGTACATACTCTTTTTCCTTTCTAGCTGCACATAGCTTTTAGACGCGAATGGATGACCCTCAATCAAAAGTTCTTTATTCAACTTGATGAATGACATGTGTTTCTTCCCAAGTGCTACTCGTTTTCCGAAAGCAGCTTGTGTAACTCTCTTTGCGTTCGCCCTCCTTCGATGATCATGATTGTATGACTTGTTCAATAGCCCTTACCTATCCTGGGGTTTAGGTATTTAAGCCTGAATTAATTTGGATCAACCTCTCGACATTCTACTTCTCAAACACCACACTTTACCCGATTTCTCAAGAACCATTGATAATATATCAGGCAAGCGCAGCAACAGCACCCTCACTCAAAATGTGCACCTACAAATACGCTTTCATCGCTTGCAACTCTTGCGCCAAGGACATCAATCGCGTCACTGGATCTGACGAAAAGCCTTGCGACCTCTATCGCGAATCCAATCCCGGCTGCCCCGACCAAACCCAGATTCACTACCACACCTTTCGCAGATTCTGCTCTGAATGCGACCCTGAGTGCTCTTGCTTCTCTGAAGAGGAGGTAGACAAGAATACCGTCGCATACATTCGCCAGATAGAGTGCAAATGCGTTAAGCGCTCGAAGATTACCTACGTCTAGAGGAGTTTGAGCAAGTTGTTGATTGAGTCATGTTGGGTCTTCAAGGATAGAGGAGTTTGTTGCTCGGACTCTGTCATATGTTTCATTCGTCTAAACTGAGATTGCAACTGTCTAATAGACTTTTGTTTGGGCCTTTTCACATCGGACATTTCCTAATCAAAGTCTTGCCCCGTGACAACTGCCCATCTTTAATGACTAAGCCCAAGATGTACAAGCAGCATCCATGTTGTCTGCACGTTGTGGAGCTTGCAGCATGAGGTCTTTTCGAGCAAGTGGGTCTGCGAGGCAAGCCCTAGTGCCTGCCCACAACATAGGTTAGTCTCGGGCGAGGTCGGACATCAACAAGAGGCCCTATGGCGCAACGGTAGCGCGTTCGACTCCAGATTCTCTTATGCGACAGTTTCTGAGCTGATATCGAAAGGTTATCCGTTCAAATCGGGTTGGGGTCATTTCTTTTGCCTTTTGGAGCTCTCGCAATGTTTCTTTTTGTTGTCGTGGTGCTTGGTTGTGGTGTTGAGTCGCTTGGGGGCCTTAGATACCTCCAGACGCCACGCGCGATTGAACAGCCGCGACAGGTCAAATCGCCTTTTTGAAACTTCTGGTATCGCCACTCGCCATTAAAAAGTGACTGAAAGGTTGTCGCAAGTCAATTGTGCAAATGGCGCGTTCGTGGTGGTATCTGGTAAATGGTATGTTTGACATGAACCTTTGTAGCGAATGGGGAAGGAGTCAAAAGCTAAATACCATTCATCTTCTGCATCAGAGTAGAATTGAAGTAGATAATTCATCATTGTTGCGCCAGAACCAGGAGTTGCAAAAGATTGTTTTGTAGGCATCAACTACATCTTGGATGCGACATAGTTTTTGCGCAGTGACAGAGCGCAGTCTCTGCGACGAACCGGGCTGACTCGGCTGAGGTCAGAAAGATCATCCCGACATGCTATATCATTGATAGCAGTAACATGAATTCTATGCGTGACTGAGTTCTATATGATGCAAGGAGAATCCGTGCTATAATCGTACCACTTGGGTTGTCGCAAATGCGCACATACATGGCATTATGAGACTCGCTCGGGCAGTTGCGTCTCTTTTAGGCCTCCGTGGTCTCAGTCTTCAGAGGCTTGCGTGCGTAGATGGCATTCCTGAATGGCGTTAGTATTGAGTCAAATTTGGTTCCGTGAGTTCCTGTAACTCACATGTAATAAAAGGGCTGGATCTTCGAATTTCTGAATGCGGCCCTAACTTCAGTGATGGTAACTTGAGCCTCGGCGTAGGTGAAACCGAGCGCCTCTCTGAGGAGGTAAAGCATGAAACCCTCAAGAGACATCTCCATGAATTCCAGATTGCACTGGCCAAGTCTCTTGAGATCTGGCCTCGCCGGCCAGGAACCGACCGGGATCTTCCACCTTTTCTCGACGAGCTCGGTGTATCCGACGTCGAGAAGAGCCTTTTTGAACTTTCCCGAAGCCACATTATCCGAAGGTTTGCCCATTTTCTCCTGCCCTTCGCACCACCACTTATACCACTTGTTGAAAATGTGGTTCTCATCCAGCTCAGTATTCTGAGAGCGACCTTTGGTATCGAATTCGATGATTTCGAACCATCCTCCAGGCTTCGTGTGGTGGAACGCCTCTTTGCAGAACGCCGGCACATCCTTGAAGCAGGCCTCCAGGTTTCGAGCATGGATGTAATCAAAGTGATCCTTCGGCCACCCAGTCCACTTTTGCTCAAAGTCATCGATGATGAACTTGACATTGGGAGGAACCCACGTAGGCTGAGTCGGCGATAGATCGGTGCCGACGACCTCGGCCGAAGGATAGGTGTCAGCGAAATCGCTTTAAGTGACATGTCAGCGAACATCCTATGTAGAAAGGACAAGAATCGGCGTCTTACATGGCCCAAATACCTGTGCCAGTACCAAGATCAAGAACTCGCTGGGAATATGTCAATAATCTCGTTCCCTCAACGACTAAGATGATGGATGTGTTTACCTGAGGGCTATCTCCAATCGGCGCTAAAGCTAGCTTGCCATCAAAAAATTCTGTCATCCAGTAGTGGCTGTCGAGTATTAGACAGCTGAAATCCCACGATCTTCCAGCCACTGTCATGTATTCCTGTGCCGCACTTTCACCAGGCAGACTCACTTGAAATCCAGGGCATCATTGTGCTTCTCATCATTGGGTCCCCAGTACTCGCTGTTCTGAGTGTATGTACGACCATGGATTTCGCGGTATTCTTTGATGCTCTCGGTGAGAGACGACGTCGATTCGGTGTACGTGCTGTATAGCACGAATGAGAATCAGCTTTGACCTCATGCTCCCGCAAGGATGTCGGCAAATCATACCTATTTCGGTCACTTTGGTCGTCCTCGACCTCAGATTCCAGTCTCGGATCCTGCGCGCCAAAGTACTGTAAGCATTGAACTAGAGCATGGGACTTGCGACACATACAACAGTAATCGGAGCAGCAACCGGTTCGTTGGCACTCATTTTGAAGCAATCCGCAAGAAAGAAACAGTGATTTTGACAGAGTAGTTCTCAGGAATTCACGAACAGGACGGGCATGAAGCCACATCGTTTGAGGGGACAACCCCTCTTTTGTAGTCTCCATTTGATGTTGGAACTTGTTGGTTCTTGAAAAAGGCAATGCATCGTGTACATGCGCAACCTGCAGACCAGGGTGGAAGCTAATTTTCGAGCCGCCTCCCCGGCCCAATCAAACCACAGAACGATCCGATTTACCACGGAATCGATGCCACATTCATACCGGCGCATTCTAGGTGGCTATAGTCGCTGAGCATCTGGCGAGCCAGGGTATTTTGATCGTGACTCGTAAGGCTCTGCCAACCAGACTGCGGTTTCCCTCAGTCTGCCTTTTTCGTTTTGGAACCGTCATAAATACGTCCATATCTGGTGTGTGATGGGCATAGTGATTGCTTGATCTGAAGGAACCTGGAAATGATTGTTTGATGCAGATGTATTGTGCGCATAGAGTTTCTTCCCAGCAAACGAATCTCGTGTTTGGTATTCTGCGATGGATCATCTGCACGCCCTCAAGGGTCTCAATGCTGAAAGAGGCGGCAGACCGGCCAAATCACTTGGCATATGGGTCTGAAATTTCTCCCCCTTGTAACGTGTCTTCCCTCATTGTTGACTGATGCGCTGACTTCTGCATTTTGTCACATTTACCAGCCTAGTTTCTGTCCAATCAGAGCGCATGTTTTCCATGAACCCCGGAAGTGGCTGGGGACGGGAGGATGGGTATCGGCGGCGAGGTCCGCCTCCGACAGGACGGGGCGCGGGATTACCATCCGGGAATTGAGTTAAAGTATCCGTTGCTTCCTGTCACCCAGGATCACCACCCAGTGATGGAAGAATAATTACAAGGCATCATTAACAAGACGATGGGTTAGCCATGATCACACGGTACTTCTCATATCTTGGGAGTGGTTGGACTTGTCGCAAGATTTATTAATGCCATGTTCATCTCGTGTATCATGAAGTCATGGAGTGTAAAGTAAATTCAGTGCCGCTAGTAAAAAGACGATCCTTTCAAAGGTCTCCGACTCTTCATACCGCTGTTGATGTGTCATGGGACGGAGATTCTGTAGTCATCGCTGGCTTTCTCTGTTTCGACACCTCCGGTTTACGAGCATAGATGACGTGCCTAGGTGCCAGTTAGCATGACGACAGAAGCAAGTCAACGACTTATTGTGTGCCACTGACATGTAATAAAACGACTGCAACCTCGGATCCCGCATCGCAGCCCTGTATTCGCTGAACATCACTTGACATTTCTCATAACTGAAGCCGGCAACTTCCTTGAGCAAGTAGAGCCCGAACCCTTCCAAGGAGTCGCTCAAGAAATCGAGAATAGTCCAGCCCAGTTGTTTCAGCTTTGGATCGGCACACCAGCCGCCAATCGGAATTTTCCACCTGTGATGCACGAGATCAACATAGCCAGCCTGCTCTAGCGCTCTCTGAAGCGCACCCGTCCGGACGTTCTCTCCCGGTTTTCCGAGCTTATTCGCAGCAGTGATCAAGGCCGTATAGCAAGTCCTGTAGATGTGCTCTTCTGGCAGTTCCGCGACCTGTGATCGGGCTTGTGATTCGAACTCCAGGAACTCAATATACCCGCCGGGTTTAGTGTGGTTGTACGCCTCCTTCATTGTCGTCGGCAGGTCGGTGAAGCAAGCTTCAAGGTTGCGGCCGTGAATGTAGTCAAAGTGATCTTTCGGCCATGTCCATTCTTGGTTAAAGTCGTCGATTTGAAACTTCAGGTTAGGCGGTACCCAAGTGGGTTGGATGGGTGACAGATCGACTCCAGTAAGCTCGGCGGAGGGATATTGATCGGCCATGTCTCTGGTTCATATCAGTATGCAGTGTGGGTCCAGAGGTTGAGGTTATTCACATGGCCCATATACCTGTACCGGTACCCATGTCGAGGATTCTCTATAGCACTTGTCAGCCTGGCTTGTAAGCATTTTTTTGCCCAAGAAGAAGAATCATACCTGAGGATGGTCATCAATGGGAGCATGGAATAATCTGCCCTCGAAAAAGTCCGTAATCCAGAAGTGGCTGGGACGTATGGTTAGCAAATGACCACCTGATGTTGAGCCACAACTTTCAAAAATCCTGTCATTCGAACACGACTTACTTGAAGTCGAGAGCTTCACTCTGTCTTTCATCGTTCGGGCCCCAATATTCTGATCTTTGGGTATACGTTCGTCCATGTATCTCACGATATTGCATGATACTCTCAGTCAATGACACCGTTGACTGCGGGTAGATACTGCAACCAAACCCGCCTTAGCACCTCAAATTCATGCGCAACATTGCATGTGGAGATTCGTTTTTTACCTGGCGATATCATCGTCCGTGCCAGCTTCAACGGCCGGATCCTGCAGGTGCGCGAGTCGCGCGAGTCAGTAAACCTCCGAATCCATCTGAACCCCTGACAATGCCACAGACGGATAGGGGGCCGCACCACTGGAATCACACTGTCACTGCTGTCGGAAGGCCGTGGCCTGGGAGGCTCGTCGTCGCACATCGTGTCGGCGGTCGTTGGAATCACGCAAAACGAGCGGGCAGCAAGAATGGATGAAAGGAAGAAAAACCGCCCGAGTTGTCGGGAACACGCTCTCCATTTGTATCGGCATGGCGTCCTATCTTCGTCCGATCCTGTTCTGCGTGTCGCAGACCGAGCAGCCCAGGGGCCCTGTCCGTCCGTGCCCCCGCACCAATGAAGCATCAAGCTTTCTCAGGCGACCGCGGGTTGGATACCCTTTGCGGACGAAGAAAGGTTCGCCTGGGTCTGGTCTGGAGGGATATCGCGCCATAGCTCTTGCTTCCACGTGGTTGATTCGTAGACCCTAGACTTGGCCATGTGTTCGAGATATGACAGCGGCTCAGCCCGGATTTTGTTCATCACCTCGCCTTCATGAATGTCGGGTCTTAGTTTCCTCATCGGAATTCTGTATTCCTCACCAATGCTGAACTTGAAATTTCGGGGTTTTTGCGGTTGAAGATGCTCGGGAGTGCCAGCATCAAAACCGGATCCCGGGTTCTGCTCACCGCTCAGGTCAGCTTTTCGAAACCAGATCAAATAGCGCAGTTTGAATGCGGGTCCTAAGCTGGGGTGACATGGGCCTTTATCTCGAAGATCTAGCTTGTCTCCACCAACAGAATAGTTGACTGAGATATTCTAAATGATCAAGAAGAATCATGTTAATACAGGAGAATGTCATATGAGCTTGTCCGATAAAGTGACGTGAAAAAGACGGCCTTCTCAGACGAATGAGGCATGAATTAACTGGCTATTGATAGTCTTTGAGTGTAAGTGACATGGGGACGACCTCCTGCGACAGCTCCACTGCTCAAACTACATTAGGCGGCAGGTGTCTCCACAGTCTCTTCGGGCTTGCGACCGTAGACAAGGTGGCTATGTGGTGAGTTAGTCAAGAAGTATCATACAGAGCCCAAAGAAGTGGCTTGACTTACAAGTGATAGTACACCTGATTCTTGAGGTCGCGTAGCTCTTTCCGCATTTCAGCGACGAACACCATGATCTCCGTGTACTCCCAGCCAAGTACCTCCTTCAACAAGTAAAGAGCAAAAGACTCGAGCATAGAGTCATTGTACTCAAGGGTACACGCCCCGAGCCTCTTCAACTCCGGGTCTTTGCTCCATCCACCAATGGGAATCTTCCATACCTTCTCCTCTTCAACCACGAATCCTGCTTCCGTCATGCCCTTAGCAATGCCGTGATTGTCGACGTTCTTCAGAGTCTTTCCCATTGTATCGGTGGATTCTGTCATGGCTTTGTACCATCTTCGGAAGATGTGGTCTTCGGTGACCTCGACTGACTGGGAGTGGTACTCGATGTCGATTTGCTTTACCTCGATGTAGCCTCCCGGTTTTGTAGCTTTGAAAGCTTGTTCATAAAGCCTGGGCCAGTCTGCGACTCCAGCTTCTAGATTTCGGATGTGGATCAAGTCGAAATGATTTGCCGGGAACGTCCAATCAAGCTCGAAGTCATCAATCTGGAATTTGCAGTTGGGGGGCACCCAGCCAGGCTGAATCGGAGAGATGTCAGTACCGATGACCTCCGCCGCGGGATGTGTGTCCGCAAAGTCACTGAAGAGTATGTCAGTTAGGCTCCCAAGGCTTGGCCAAATCCAGTTCTGCTCACGTCGCCCATATTCCCGTGCCCGTGCCCAGGTCAAGAACATGCTATATTGGGACGCAGTCAGTTATTAACGTCCCTTAACTCATCTCAAGAGTGACAAACGTGGGGATCCTTGAGAGGAACAAGAGTCAACTTTTGACCAAGCAGGTCCGTCATCCAGTAGTGGCTTTTTTGAATCAGTTTAGATATCGAGATTGTTTTGATAGTCGAAGCGCATACTTGAAATCAAGAGCGTCCTGCTCTCTCTCGTCATTTGGAGCCCAATATTCTGTCTTTTGTGAAAAGGTCCGACCATGGAGCTCCCTGTACTCGCGCACGCTTTCAGAAAGAGACGTAGTTGAAGACGTGCGGATGCTGCCGTCCGCCCAAATTAGTTCATAGCAAGGCTCTGGGAAATCCGTTGACTCTTACCTAGATGTTTCAGTTGTGTCGTCCACATCCGCCCCAGCGGCGGCATTGGGGTCCTACGAAGAAAGGTCAGCACGATGGTTCAGACTTGTGAAAGCCATGCGAAAGCGGGGACATACGACAGGGATGTCTTGCTCAGTGTTTGGATTCAACATGTTCGCGGCAGATTCCCTAGGCGCCAATGATGAGCTTCTGTCCCAAGTGTGAGATTTCTGGGAGGAAACAGACCAGCGGAAGAACAAACGGGCAGGGCTCGTCCTTTGTACTGTTCAAAATGCTGTTGGTGCTAAATATGCAGGTTGTGCAATCCGTGAGCTAGGGATGGGCCGCCCAGGGGGATGAAAGTCCGTCTCCCCGGGCCAATGAACATCGTCCTTCCCCAGCCGTTGTCAGGCTCTAGACTCGTTTCAGCAGGTTCTCTGGCTGGGCGTGTATCCACCGAGACACAATTGACAGGGACAACATACGACGGAGTGGATTTTGCTGGCCAATTTCGGTGGGCTTGGTCCGGGTGCAGACCGGTGGCTAAAGAACAACGCCGCAGTCCGAGAGGATGGGCCAAACTGCATGTTCCCCTCATTTTCCCACTCAAACACGTTTTCTTATCATTTGGTCTCGCTGCTTGACCACTCAGACGAAGTCTTGGCAAGTCTGCATCAGAGAACTCTCGTGTTGGGTGATGCCCCACTATGCAAGCATCCAGTGGGGGAAAAGCTCAATCCCTCAATTCTATACTGCGGATGTTTGGATAATGGCATCAAATTTAATGTGTATGTCACGATATTGAAAGAACACTGCAAGCCTAGGTATTTTGTGAAGAGAAATGAAAGCAGGGCAATCTTTGAATGACTCGCATCAAGACAAGGGGAGGACTCAGTGCCAAGACGAGTGACATTTCAAATTCTCCGGCACCCCGAGGATTTTCATTTATGGATGTCTTCTGGTATTGCATCGAAAAGCTGAGAGGGTTTAAGAAACCTGATCTGGTCGAAGTCATGAAATCTGTTCACCTGACGTAGATTGCTGACCTGTGCATCCCATCATCGAAAGGGAGAATGGATGTTCGCGCAGCTTGAGATATGAACGGAGCAGGCACTGGAAAGTTGCTGCTAGACCATGGATGGCAGCCTGTGACACGGGCAGATTACAGGGATATGTGCGTGATGGTAGCATATCTTGCGGGCAGTTAAGAAGCTTGCAGTTTCGATTGAAGAACTCAAGCTGGTGATTGATAGGATCAATGACAGCCAACAGGCCTTGGCGGTAAAAGATGCCAAGGCAGGCGCGAGAGCGAGATGCACAAGGAGCAAAGATAAAAATGAAAACAGCTGCGCCTGCCGACTTCCTTCTTCAGCCATGAACATAGTGAATCGCCAGGGGGTCACTTCACAGGCGCCGCTCGCACTTTTGGAGGGGAGAAGGGTCTATGACTGGCGAGAAAAGTCATTGGGTGTGTGTTCTGCATCCTCCCTGTTGGCTTGCACCAACACGTACTGACACCCTTGCACTTACAGCGCCGCGTATTCAGAAAACTGGGCTCTTGAGTAACTCCTCTTCTCTGGGAACTTGAAAAAGTCCTTGTTTCCTTTCTTTCTTCTTTTTCCTTATCCTCCACTGTAAATGTTTACTTAAGTGCGAGCGTATAGCAGTGCTAGTCTCAATATGGCCGATGCATCGAGAACCAAATCCGGTTCGCCGCTGGGCAACTCACCGAGTTCGGTTGCCTCACCTCCGAAGAGCTCCCCCACCAGTTCGCCCCCGCCCGCAGGACCCTCAGCTGAGGATCCGGCACCACTACAGGCCGATGGGGATTTGGTACGGCTCACTTCTAGTCCTTTTGTTGAGCGACTTTGTCTAACTCCCATAAAGCCTCAAGAAATTGACACCGAACGATTGTGAATTGGCGTGTCCGACAGTCCCACGAAATCAGCTGATGAATTAGCAAGGTCATCCTACACGGCGTCGTTGGCTTCCAGTGCTGTCGATTATCCCGTTGAATATGGGCGCCGATACCATGCCTTCCGCCCAGGCTGTGAGTGATTTTCTTCCTCGAGAACTGGTCGACAGTCTTTTCGCACTCTGACAAATGAACGCCGCTGATATGAAGAACTTCAGCATATGTGCTTCCCAACGATGAAGTTCGTGGTTCACACCTTTTACTGCGACAAGCTCTTACAATTGAATGTATCTAGTACGAGATGGACCGTCTCGACTTCGTCCACGCGCTGTTCGTAAGAGCTCTTGGAGACAGGCTTTACCTCGCGCCTCTTGAAAAGGAGAAGGTCCAAAAGATCCTGGATATTGGAACTGGGACCGGTATTTTTGGGTGCCAAATCAGATGGGACATCAGAATATGCAAATATACTAAGTTGTGCAGGGGCTATGGAAATTGGTGACATTTTTCCGAACGCCGAGGTACGTGTTTCCTACCATAACTTACCTTACGAAGATGCGCATCAGTTTGGGAGCCTGCAACTACAATTGTTACAGCAGCTCTGACTGGGCCAACAGGTGATTGGCAACGACCTCAGCGCTATCCAACCCGAGTGGTAGGACCTCCTGAATGTGAGAAAAACCAAGCTTCGTCCTGACCTGAGAATAGGGTTCCACCCAATGTCAAGTTCGAAATTGACGACGTCGAAAGCCCATGGATCGGTGACAGAAAGTACGACTACATCATGTGTCGCTGCATGGCTGCTTGTCTCGCAGATTGGCCGAAGCTCATGAAAAACATTTATGAGTGTGTACCTGAAGCCCCGAAGACAAAGAGACCTGACATCTAATCGTATAATCCCAGCCATCTCAATCCCGGCGGATGGGTTGAGTTCCAAGACACAAGCATTGAGTACTATTCGGACGATGGAACTCTCACGGAAGAGCACTATTTCCCTCAGTGGAACAAGACCCTTGTTGAAGCAATTGCCTCAATTGGGCGCGAGCCCTCGCCTGGTCCTAAGCTCGAGGGATGGGTCCGTAACACTGGGTTCCAAAGGATCAACCATTCAAAGGTCAAGATCCCATTGGCACCTTGGCCAAAAGATCCCTTTTACAAGGACCTGGGGGCAATGAACTTGACGCAAGTTCTTGATGGTCTTGCGGGGTTCACGATGAGGGTATTCTGCGGAGTCCTTGGACAAACGCAGGAGGAGGCACAAGTCATGATGGCCGCGGTGCGCAACGAGCTCAAGAAGCTTCACTCTTTTCACTCACAGTTTGACTTGTAAGCTTCTCCGTGGCTTCCTTCTGGAGACATTCATCTGACTATAGTCCAAGCCATATTGTCTATGCGCAGAAGCCTCTGGAAGAGGATGAATAAGCTCTGCGGAAGACTTTTGGTACATATATAATACCTGGAAGTGATGAAGTCGTCGACGATTCGCATCTTCAAGTTCATCGACCAATCTCCTATTTAAGAATGGACGTAAACAACTATGGGCAAAGCATTCCTATTTCTCCCAGGAATCATATCTTACAAGTCCTCTCTTGACCACAAATACGATCTACGTTAGCTAAAAAGGCGAAGTCAGATTTAGAGAAAACGATACTTCGTGGATGATGTGGCCGCTTTAGCTCCGTAGAATACATGATTTCAGAGTCTTTCTGATGATTGATCCTGGCAGACGCGTTTCCTGTGATGCAAATGGATAAATGGTTCACCAAAAATGGCGTAACAGCCAAGGCATTAACTATATAACTATTTACTAAGCTGGGATATCAAACCATGATGGAGTAACAAAGTAGCATGGCATCGCAACAGCACCAAAGAGCCATGAGAGCGAAATGCGGAACATCTGTAATAAGCAGCTTCCTATCTCGGCAAAAGATGGGGGTCCATCATTCCTAGGCTGCGGTGGAATTGTTGGTGCTTCACCAACGCCTTGCATAAACAACCTTGCACCTACTGCGCCGAGCTTTCAAAAAGCAAGGCCAGGCGGCCGCCCCTCTTCTCTCCGTCAACCCTGACACGATCTCTCCCATCTTGCCGCATTCTCCTCTCCTTTCTCGAGGCCAACGCATCGGTCTCGTACTGCATTTTCTGTCAGCTTCCGGCTCACACATACCTTTGACAGACATCATGCGCGGTTCCTTGAAATTCCGAGTCAAACTCGCCTCGAACGGTCGCTACCAATCTGAAAATTGCAGCCCAACCAGAAGGCCAGTCGACCCACACTGTGGTCAGACCTGCCGGACCCATGAACGACGATGATGAAGTTATCCAGGCTAATGACCCGGAGGAAGATGGTCCTTCAGTGATCGATGATGGTCAACTGTATGGCATTAAATGCGTCAATCTTTGGCAATGAAATTAACTGGCGCAATAGGTCTTCATACACGGCGTCGCTAGCATCGAGTGCTGTGGACTATCCGGTAGAATATGGTCGCCGCTACCACGCTTTCCGCCCAGAGTGTAGGTGATCTCTTACTGTTGAAATTACAGACGAGTTGAAACAAGCCTGACATAAAATAGCTTATATCATGCCGAACGACGAAGTGTGTGCTACCTTGGTCGATACGTATCATCAGCCCTCTAATGCAGCTCGATAGTACGAGATGGATCGCATGGACTTTGCGCATGCGATGTTGGTCAGAGCGGTCGGCAATAAACTGCACACGGCGCCGCTCGAGAAAAACAAAAATAACCAAATCTTGGACATTGGGACGGGCACCGGAATCTGTGAGATATTTGATCCTTCTATACCAGCAGTACGCAACAAGGCTGAAGCAACTCAAAACCCCAGGGGCTATGGAGATGGGAGATGTTTTTAAGAACGCTGAGGTAGGCCACCTGATATGCTACATGGATTCGAATCTTACACTCTGACTCGTTAAATTAGGTTACTGGCGTTGACCTCAGCGCTATCCAGCCAGAGTGGCAGGTTAGGCTGCAATGCTTGATATCACCGTCAGAAGCGCTATCTCACACAGAAAAAGGGTTGGCCCGAATGTTAAATTCGTTGTCGATGATGTGGAAAGCCAATAGGTAGGCGATAAGAAGTACGACTACATCTTCTGTCGGTGCATGGCTGCATGTGTTGCCGACTGGCCAAAATTAATCCGCACGATCTACGAGTGAGCGTTACCAGACCAATCAATCATCGGATTCGGGAGTTTGATGACTGACTATCATTTAGCAACCTCAACCCCGGGGGCTGGGTTGAGTTTCAAGATTCCGATTTCAACTACGACTCAGACGATGGCACGCTAACCGAAGAACATCAATTCAAGCAATGGAGCAAAAGTCTCGTCTCTGCGCTTGAGTCCATCGGACGTGACCCTTGCCCGGGACCGAAGCTGAAAGGCTGGGTGAGTGATGCTGGATTTCAGGAGATTTCGCACAAAAGGATCAAAGTCCCTGTCGGTCCCTGGCCTAGAGACAAGTGGTTTAGCGATCTTGGGGCTATGAACCTTACGCAGCTTCTAAACGGATTGGAAGGCTTTTCTATGAGAGTCTTCTGCGGAATTCGCGGGCAGACAGAGTCGGAAGTCCAGGCCCTGCTTGATGCGGTTCGCGAGGAATTGAAGACTCGTCATTTGTTCCATGCCCAGCTTGACTTGTGAGTCGTCTCAAGCGAACCCTATTTGCAAGAGCATGTTTCTAACATCTTGCTTAGCCATGTTGTTTACGGCCAGAAACCACTGGAAGGAGAAGAGTAACGTTGTAACAAGGACCTATGCGGTACCATGTCTCTGGATGGAAGAATGTAACATAAGAGACGGGAGGGAGCTGCCCTCAGTTTAGATTGAAGTGGCCATAGACATTTCTTTAAAGCCATGCTAGTCCTTGCACATTTCCCGGTCAGAATTATGCGGCTGTCATCAAAGGTGTGCCCGCAGGCGTTAACCTGCCACACGCAACAAAAAATGAGAAGAAAATTAAGGCCCCGATCGGCAGCCTAAAATCGAGTTTTGAGAATCGAATATCGGCTTAGATAACATTGCAGAAAGCCACGGAATTGCGTTCTAACAGGGCATTTCCCCCTTTTTAGGTAGAAGGCGTACAGAAAGTTCGGAGATACATATAACGCCCGCGTAGGAGGCTTTTTAAACGATGTACTGCCTAACTAACCTAAGCAAAATAGCCCAAAAAGCACCCTATTGAGCCTAATAACCAATTTTGTAGAGAGGTGTAATTAAGCGCTAAATATCGGATTTCGAGGAAGTACGCCACTCGCGTGGTTAACGGCGGGCGCTTTTATTCAATCGTACTTACTTTATGTTGAGGAAGTTTCATAGCCCACCCTATAAGAGGGTCCACAGTAAATAAATCCAGTAAGAGCACTTCGGCCGGTGCTTCGTCTAGTAAGAAGATCGCAGTATACGTACTCAGGGATCGTACTTACTTTATATTGTAGCCCGTTAGATGTACTGACATTCAATATCCAAAATCCAATATCGGGGTGTCGATCAGGGTCTAAAAGAAAAGTAGGACAAGTGAACAAAAACTTGTGACATGCCCTATTTAGTAAGATACTCAGAACATGATTATAGTGCCGCGGACCAGACTGAGACATATCACATTTGATCAGAATCGCTTTTGATCTTCATCATTCACATTTCTCATTATGCTACTTGATGCATTCATTAACTCCATGTAGGCGTGTAATCCTAACTTTCATCCATAGTACTGTCGCCTGAACCATGTAGTCGCATTTTTCAGCGCTTTACTGGACGAGTCCAGCAACGAAGGCAGCAGCAGCGGGGGCGTCCTGCTCGTAGTTGCTGTGGTCCGCAGTGATGATAATACCACCGTCGCAAATGTTGTCACCGTCGTGGCAGATGATCTTGACCTTGGAGGAGGGGATGTTGCCGACGGGCTGGCCGTCGAATGGGTCGCCGAAGATGAGGACTGTCGCGTGTTAGATTCTAGTCATGGAGGCGGTGTTCCAAAAATGCTTGACATACCGGCAGAGACCTTGTTGGTCAGAGTGGTGCTGAGCTTGGAAGCAGCGTTGTGGACGAGCTGGCCACCCTGGCTGTAGCCGGACATGACGATCTTGGTGTTGGGGCATTGGCTCGCAGCCTGAAGGCGTGGTTAGCTATGAAGTCAATGGAGAGAAATTGAGGAGCAAGACTCACCTGGGAGACCAAGTTGGCCATGGTGGTGCTGCCAGCCGCGTCACCGCCGGACAAGAAGCCCAAGACGCTGGCACTGTAGTTGACACCCTGAACGGCGAGGTTCGAGGCACCAATGATACCAGCAAGGGCGTTGAAGAAAGTAGGACCCTCAGAGCCCGCCTCTCCGACGTTACCGGCGCCGTAGGTACCACGGGCCCAGATAACCGTGACAGCACGGCAGGCAGTGCCGTCAGTCAGCTGGTTGAAGGTGTCACCGTTGTACTGACGCTTGGAGATGGAGGGAGAAATCGAGGCAACAATGGAGGGCTTGCTAAAGGCCTGCTTGTAGTACTCCTCAAGTTCAGTCATGGGGAAGGATCCCAACTCGCTACGGGCAGCGACGCTCTCGAAGGGAGCAGCCATGGCCGCTGAGGCGGCGGCGAGGAGGAGACCGGCCTTCATCTTGACGGTGACGAGTCAGCTGCTGGACCGGGATGGGTCTTGGGCTTGAGGATGAGCAGGAGGGTGGTCTTGTCGGCGGTGGGAGACTGAAGCTCTGACGATCTTCCGTGATGTGCAATCAGAGGGGAAATCGTCTTCGTCTTAAATGTTAAGCAGTATGGCTGCGCATCTCCCGTGGCTGATCAACTCTATTCCCTCGTGGCGTGCGCGTGCTGCGCGTGGACCTGACCAGCGACTCACAGGCCAAGCCCTTGGCTGTCGTCGTCGCTTCACGACCTGCCAGTTTGCAATGCGTCGCAGGGCCATGGACCAACCCTCCACCGCAAGTAGCGGTGCTGCCCTCAACGGTCAAACCATCCCAACTTGAGACAGTGGGCCGAGCCTCATGCTGACCTGTGCATGGCACATTTAGGTTATGCCATCCCATTGACCATTCAGAAACCGCCCCCAATCGGGAACATCGGTCTGCGAACAGGAAGCTGCGTTGCCCTGGGGAAATTGGAAGCAAGTTTTTGCAATGTAAGATATTGCTCTTGCAGCACAACTATGCCCACTCCAGCACCTCGGCCCGCACCGGCCCCCCTCCTTAAGGTTCAGGTGTGCCTACGGTGTTGATTAACTGCACGGGTGACAGCTGTGTTGTGGAATGCGTTGAATGCGCGTATATCCTGAAGTCGAAGTGATCATCGGTATCCCATCGGAGCCCATGGCGTCATAGGAGGTTCTGATAGGACCGGCAGTTCGCAGTATTTCTCGGGAGAGGGGCGCCCTGGCCTGTCATTGAGTCTCGTGGCCGCCGTGGGTGTTGCCGTGGGCCGCCAGCCAGGGTTTGGAGTAGCATCGCCTCGGAGATGTCGGCCGTTTACAGGCAAGCAAATCGGTGCCTAGTCCCGAATCGTAGCGGAGTTCGTCGCTGATCGCGGGGTAATCGGGGCGCTTAGAGGTGGGTGGTTGGGCTGACTGTCGGGAGAGAACACGTGGGTAGCAGACCGAGATAGGACCTTCTGCTTTTGATGAAGAACCCCGGGGTCCAAGAGCTTCGAGGTGGGAGTTATGTGTAATGATGTGCCTTTGTTGGGCGCCCAACGATCTTGGCGAGAAAACTATTCAATGCGGGGATTTTGAGGCCTTGTCAGCTTCAGGTGGAGCTGAGATCGGACCCTGCCGACTTGTATTGTGATCAGCTCATGGGGGAGAAGTAGACATGTCATAAAAATGTAGGCTGAGTCTCTCTTTGTAAATTATTAGATAAGAATCTCTTGGCCTTCCTGTTCAGGTGATGACTTCGTAGGCATGTAGTGAGGTAGAAATTGGGAATACCCTCAATGGGTTTGAGTGGGTGTGATAGTATTGCACACAATGCAAGGGCAAAAGATGCAGCTATCACATGCAAACAGAAGGGCAATCAACGTCAAACAATAAACAGCCACACTGGGCCAATTGAAGGCGGCATAACCTGTTCATTTCCAATGATGGTGAGGGGATGCACCCATCCACTTCAAAGGATCGGCAGGCACGGCACGACGTTAGCTATGATCCCCGTCCAGGAAACGGCATCCGGCCTATTTGTAGACATAGCATAGAGTAAGAATGCGATGCAGAATTTAACTAGTCATACTAAGGCTCATCGACAATGGCTGCTGCTGCACATGTACTCACAGTAGGTACTGGCTTCGCGCGGAGGTCCAACTCCAGCTTGCAACCTACCAGGAGGCAGAACTCCACAATGTTAAGCATGAGATTCTAGTAGATCGAGAACCGCAAAATTGATTCTCTAGGAAATTTATACAGCGTCTGATGTGCCGAATTGTTCGACGCTCATTGCCAGAAATATCGCCTTTTCCCTTCTTGCACCTGCCTGCGATACTCTTGCACCTTTTCAATCGCCTTATATTCAATGTCCAAGACCCTACCAAGCCCGTACTCGTCAAAGTTTTGGCAGATTGGGCATGCATCCACGAGCCAATCATCGCGGTCTTCGGCTGGCTGTGTTTCCCAAGCGTCGAAGTATCTGTCCCCATCATCGCAATCATACCACAAGTCGCCATCGTCGTCCATCTCCACCGGATAGGCTGCATGCTGAAGACCGTCACACAACGCCCTGACCATCGGCCACCGCGAAAGCTGTCTTCTGCCTTGTAGAATTGCGGTGTGGTGATGAAAACGAGTCGCATTCTTGAAGAACTCTGGGCTCAAATCAAGGTTAGGGTTTTCCCGACCCCTAATTTGCTGATCTGTATGTTCCCAAATGGGAACAAAATCGCCACCAGCAAGATAGCGTGTGTCCCTGTCATATTCTGAAACTTTGTCCTCATGACATACGTCCTGACTGAAGCCCTCCGCTTGCCCCTCGCGGAAAAAGGATGCAAAGACGGCCACCGGAGACCCCTCGGCCTCTCCCGACACCTCGCTTGATGTTGAGCTTTTAGAATTCCAGGTAACGTCACCTTGAATGTTGTACTGAAACGTCCAATTAAAACATCGGTGCCTGTCCATGATTTCGACCTGTTCCGCGAATTCTTCCACTGCATCACGTGCATCTTTGTGGGCATCTAGGAGGTATGTGTCTTTTGACCTTGAAAGACCGTAGGTCCAGAACCGAGCAACATCTGACGCTTGTATATGCCCCATCAGACCAGACCATGGAGGTTGATTAGCCCACGTGTCGTCAGGTATCGAGGGATCTGTACCAAAGACTTCGAATGGATCTGACCCGTGGTGAAGCAAATGAGCAACTGACCCCTCGAAAGCAATGTAAGGGAACTGTAGATACCAGCCGGTAATAGGCGAATACTTTTTTGTCATCATCTCTCCCCAATGAGAGAGCCCATCGAAGCTCTTCAGACCTGGATCAGTACCCTGAAGTAGTAAGTAGTGCGATGTATCGCTCAGGACTTGAACGTCTTGCATGCTTCGGAAGAGGGGTGTTCCGTTCCAACTCCCTTCGCTGACATTAACACTAGCTCCATACTGACGGAGAGCCGCAATGCCTTCAATCCACCCAGTTCTCGCTGCATTGCTCATGGGTGTCCTGCCAATGGCGCCTTCATGATCGGGATCTATGTTGGCGATCTCTAAGGCGAAAAGGACTAGGTCCAGCTGGTTTGCCTGACAGGCGCCATAAAGCAAATTGGCTGAAGGCTCATCCATTTGCCAATCGGAATATCCGACGGAAAACAAAAGCTGAAATTGCCAAAGCAATTGCGATGAATCTGCGTAAAACTGTTCCAGCAATCCTCCTGGCTTGTTGCCAAAAGACAGGAGGTCTGCTCCACGACACGTCATAGCTAGGGTAGCATCTCTAAACCCCTCTGAAAATGCAGAGAGCACGGGGGGCCTATGAATAGTTTCAACCATACCATTCCTCTCCAGCAGCAAGTAAACATTGTAAACACTTACAGTTTGTTCTCTCCCAGGTGAGAGGTGGATGGATCACACCCTTGATCCAACAAATACTCTAGTACTGATTGGCCACCCCAAACAAAATGATCTTCGTTTAACAGGGGTATCCATTGTCTAAGCTTGCCTGAGATAACGTGCTTCAAACTGTTAGATGTTAAATGCATGGAGCTGACGAGATCTACGTGATAACTAACCTCAAGCAAGCCTCCAATCTCCTCATCCGCGTCATGTATGTTTGCTTGTCCTGTTTCTAGCAGGTAGTGTACTTCTTGGAGATCCCAGTCCCTACAGGCCAAGAAGATTGGGGCGTCTCTGGGCCGTACATTGACGATATGCAGTGACGCGGTGAGCAAAGGCTCAAGTTTCCAAAACCGGCAAAGTAGCTGAGCCTGAACCTCGATCCGGATAAGGTATTGACCCAACCATTTGAAGCACATATTAAAGAGGAGCTTAGCTTTTCGAGACTTCATTCTGGACTCCAAGGTGAGATTTGCTTCCGTAGTATAGAGACTTTCGGTGGAAGTTTCAGGTGTTTTGGCATTGCCAAACGTTGCTATCAAGTGTCTTCGAGTCACGCGTCGGTGGTGTTGCATTAACATGTAGGCGGGATCATTTCGATATTCTAGCTGGGCTGGGGGGCATTCAACGGCGGCACCATTGTAACTAATCCTCCTGGCGGAGGCACGACCCGAAAACGCCCCCTTTTCGAATTCAGTAGGTCACCTTGGCAGGTTTTGGGAACGTATGTGCTCACCACGAGCTGTGTCATTGTCGTGGAGAGAAAGGTTTTCATGTCGTCAAGAGATTGCTTTGTTTCTTCCCTCGTCAACGACTGGCTGATGGTGAGAGATTTGTGACTTATGGAAAACAATCGTCTAAATAATACTTGGGTTAGAAAAAGCATAACAGTAGATTCCCCGCTTGATCCCATTAATGTGCGCGGCTTGCAGTTCTTTTACTTACAACATGAGGATTTGAAGCATGATGCTCAATTCGTCATTTACCATTTGAGCGTCTTGAAGTATGCTCTGCGCTTTTCTCTTGTCTAGCATAGCCCAGCGCAGCCGATTCCTCACGCCATGGGAGGCACCGGCCGAGACTGTGATGATACCCTCTAGACGCATCAGTGAATCTGAGATGCTCTCCATGCCCATGGCGAACATTCTCATGTGATGTTCCGGCAGCAAAGTTAGCTGGGCTTGTGTTTCCGGCAACTCGTCACACAAAGCTGCGACCTGTAAAAGAAGGTCGTGAAGACTTTGCAGTTTGAGGCGAAGCTTTGTGATCTCTGCTGGCGCATGCTGAAATGAGGAGACAACACTGTGTGCCAGCTTGCCTGTTTTAAAAGACAGCTCTACGAACTGGGCAATCGCAGCCGCAGCTCCGAGGGCTTCCATCTCGACTTTCGGGAGAATTACCCAGAATTGTGAGCTGGACTTCACTTGTACCTGGAGTTTAATCCGGAACGGAGAAGTGTGTGCTAAATAGAAATGGTAGGGTTGAGGGTGCAGGCTGGCTGCAGGTTCACGTAGGAAACGTTGAGATGCGTGGAGATCACAGATGGAAACGAGTCTGCCCTGGGGCAACCCTCTACATAAGTACCACCTGCGTCTTACATTCTTAAGGCTTTCATCGAGGCGTAGTCTGCTTTATTGGCGGTGGCAAGAGCGGTGCAATGCATGTGAGTCCTGCAGCTTAAGAATATTCTAAGTCGCGATTCGCCAGCCTGATCTACTCACTGTAGACTTGGCTGGGCACAATTTGGTCACATTCATAGCAAAACTCCCGAGTGGGTTATAGATGATGAGAGACCTCTGTCAGCGGACTATTTGCCGAATAGAAAGTTGTTCCGCTCTTTGGTTTCACGAGCTGCGCCCCCCGAACTCTTAATCCCTTGGAAATAGTTGACTAAGTAATTATACTGTACGCATAACAATCGACATCAATTTGCAGTACAGAATAAACGAGCGAATAATAGAGCAAAACATATGCTGGTGCTACTCTCATTCTCAAAGACCTTGCCGCGAGTTACATAGGCTGTATCGAAGATGCGTCCATAAACCTTCCAGCTACCAGACTGCGAGATATTCTGGCTCATGAACACCCATCACATGATTATCGCTGGCTCCACTTGAGTCTTGCACTCGTTCCAATATTCTCTGACTAGCGAAGACTGAATGATGCAAACATACTTACTCAGCAGGTAAGTCCGCCATCAATGACGATCGACGTCCCGGAGATATACGTCGACTCATCACCGAGCAGAAACCCTACCAAAGCAGCCACGTCCTCAGGCTGACCCCACCTTGGGATAGGAGGACTATAAACGCCCGAGTCTTCTGCTTTTGCCTGGGCCATCATTGGGGTGTCGATAGCACCACTTTCGAGAAAATCAGCATGAAAATTGACGTTCACTAGAAGGCATTCACTGACGGATTGACGCAGTTGACACGTATTTTGCGATGACCGTATTCCCTCGCTGCTTGCCTGGTCATCCCCAACACCGCATGCTTGCTGGCGACATAGGCTGAGCCACCGGAATCAGGCGCGCTTCTCAGCCCAAGGACACTCGAGGCATTGACAATTGAACCCCCGTCCGTGAGATGCTTCAGCTCTTCGCGCATGGAGTACATCGTCCCAGATAGGTTGATGCTGAGGACTAGATTCCAGTCCTTGTCGGTCTGCGCTTCGAGGCGATCCACGGTCGAGCCGCCTGTCCCGGCAATATTGGCCGCGCCATCAAGTCTTCCAAAGATTTTGACTGTCTCTTCGATCCAGCTTTTGACTTGCTCGGAATCGCTGACGTCGACAACGGTGGCCTCAATACGTACTCCAATGGCCGACAGCTCTGTGGCCAGACTTAACAAAGCATCTTTCTGGACGTCTGAGATTGCAAGAGATGCTCCACGGGTGGCGAGGTAAGTCGCGACTGCGCGTCCGATGCCGCTAGCAGCCCCGGTGATGGCAATCACCTTGTCGTTGAAGGGTTTCAATGTGGTCGAGGCCATAATTCAAATTGGTGCTGCAATATTCGTATGATTATGATGTGTTGTGATGATACTGGGCCGGAAGAAAACGTTTACCTATGAGGCCGTCTTCAAATTTATACTTGTGAGCTACGCGCCTCTGTAGTGCGACGCCACAATTCGGGATGTCTGGAAGTCTGACCTAAACCCATTGTTCCCATCAGTGTTTGCCTCAATTTCCCCGCGAAAAACAGATTGATCTGATAGTTCAGGCGCACCGCTGTGCTTTGACATAAGAGCGCGGCGTTGGCAGCCTGGAGATTTTCTGCTGCTGCCCAGGCCCGTCGGAAGTTTGTTCAGGCCGCGTCCGCTGGAACCATCGGCGGCACCCTTACCGTTTCCGGCATGTTAAGCGCCGGACGAAGCTCCGTAAGTCAGGGGTGGCGGCGGGAATTACCCACCGGCCGTAAGCCGCCGCCGCCGTCGCCCGCACAATTATTCTCCGCGAGGGTCCGGCAGTCGACCGCCGAGATATCTTGAAATTCGATCGCATATTATGTTGCAGGGGATTTCGTCATTCGTGGAGGCGCTCTGTCCACGAACCACTTGGATTGTTCGCATTACACCCCGCGACATCCGCCACGGGTTTCCGCGGACCCGAAACCGTGCTCCACTGTGACAAGCAAAGGTGATAAAACACAAGCAATGGGCTTCCGCTTCATTGCTCTTTTCGATCACCATCGAATCAATCACTAGCCGCCAGAGTAATCCTATTTCATTCTTACTATCTATGTCACAAATTCGTAAAGAATCGCCAACCGACATGTTCTACGTCGTAGCCTCCGCCGCTGCGGCGCTGTCATTTTTTCTCTACTCCTTATACCAATATCTACTTCCCAAGCCAATCCCTGGGATCCCATACAATGTCGACGCTACCAAGAACTTGCTCGGAGACATTCCACGTCTGCAAAAAGAAGCCAACACAAATGTCTACGGCTGGCTGATCAACCAGACTCGTATCCACAAGAGCCCTATCATCCAGGCATTCATCGAGCCCTTCCACCAGCCTTCGGTCCTCGTCGCCGACTTCCATGAGGGCCAAGACATCCTGATGCGACGCAAGGAATTCGAACGATCCGATTTCAGTATTGCGCTTCTCAGCGGAGAAGCTCCGAACTTCCACATCAACATCAAAACAGGACCAGAATGGAAGGCTCATCGACGTCTCCTACAAGATTTGATGGCGCCCAAGTTCCTGCACGGAGTCGCCGCCCCTAATATCTACAAGAGTTCTGCTCGCCTCCTAGACCTTTGGAGAATCAAAGCACAGGCTGCCGTGGGGCGTGCGTTCCAAGCAGATATGGACATCTTCTACGCCGCGCTAGATGCTGTTTTCGACTTTGGATTCGGCGATGCGATTGAGCAGAGAGCACTAATCCCGCAAATAGAAAAGGTTGCAGCAGCTGATATACCCACCAATACCAATGGAAACAAGGCCGTCGAGTTCCCTTCCGCACCAATCGACCCGTCGTTTCAAGCAACACTGAACTCTGTCGAGAACGTGGGCCCGGTTGCTGCGAGCGGTTTCCCCAAACTTGCTTGGTGGCTTGTCGGTTGGAGACCCAGCGTGCAGCGCAACCGAGCAATCCTCGATAAGTTCATAAAAGAGCAAGTCATGAAGGCGGTCGACCGATACAAGAATGAAGGCGCGGACGACAACGACGACTACGTCAAATCGGCGATTGACCTTATGGTACAGAGGGAAGGTACATTTGCCAAAAAGGAGGGGCGAGATCCTGTGTTTTGGAGTCAAACAATGAAAGACGAGGTAAGAAGACTGCCTTGTTTAATTGGATCGATCTGACAAGTTGTGTCTGCTAGACTCTTGGCTTCATCGTCGCCGGACATGACACCACAAGCACCACCTTGTGCTGGGGCGTCAAATTCCTCTCGGACAACCCAGAACCCCAAAGTCGATTACGCCAGATTCTCCGGAGCAAGCACGAAGCTGCTGCAGCCGAAGGCCGCGCTCCTACGTATGCTGAGATTGTACAAACCAGTGTACCATACCTGGATGCCTTGGTCGAGGAGATGCTACGCTTAGCCCACACAACAATCATTCAGGAACGACAGGCTAGCGAGGACACCATTGTACTTGGCCACCGGATCCCCAAGGGTACTAACGTATTTGTCGCCAATCAAGGCGCCAGTTTTACGGAGCCTGCATTCGACATTCCCCAACCTCTCCGCAGTGAGTCGTGCAAGAATGCCATGGAGGAGCGGGGAATGCGATCCTGGAACGAGGATGGAATGAACAAGTTCTGGCCGGAGCGGTGGTTGGTGACGAACAAGGAGACCGGAGAGCAGGTTTTCGACTCGGCGGCTGGGCCTACCATCCCATTCGGTCTCGGTCTTCGGGGTTGTTTCGGACGCAGACTGGCATACATGGAGTTGAAGCTCTTGGTTACTCTTCTGGTGTGGACCTTTGAATTCTTACCTTGTCCAACGGAGCTGTCGACTTACGAGGACGTTGAGGGGTTGACTCGTAAGCCGAAGCAGTGCTACGTCAACCTGAGAGTCCTGTGAAAGCAAAGCCCTTTCACTTGAGAATCAAAGCGGGTTGGATATTTTCCTGTAAGATAGGTGTAGCCGGCGGAGTAGAGATAGACAGTCATTAACAACGGGAGCGATGCGCATAAATCGCGGCTGGGAATTTTCTTTGAGTCGATAGAGGATTGAATGAAACTAATTGGAACCTTTTATTTCAATCTTGGCTTGATCTCCTCCCACAACGCACCATATTTGTCCACCAACCCAACTAACTGACTGAAACCAACTTCTGAAGCGATGTTACAGCGTCTCATAGATTTCTCGTCCTCGTCATAGGCCATTTTCAGTGAGCATTAACTTTGAGCGAAGACAGGAGCCAGATGCTTCCACCTATGGCATTTTGAGTCATTACTCGATCCTTAAGGCATTGAACTGCTCCGAAATGTCAGTCGTGTTGGCGCCGCTAGCTGCTATCGTGAGGCTAAAAGTAAATGCGGTCAGTAGAACCCGCGACAGCGGACGTACTCAACGCCGTTTCATGTTGGGTAGAAAGTTGCTTACTGCATAAGCATGTCAGCTGGCCGCGATCACAAGATCTCAAGATAAAGAGTCACATACCATTTCAGTGTCAGTGACATGAGCACCCTCCAAAGCAGCAAGATCGAACTTGCCACCATCCCCAAGCAGTAAGGTGTCCGGCTCAACCTGGCTGGCGCAGGTCCTAGTTGGTCGGGATGCCAAGGAAGCCGACGGTGGGGAAGACGTCGAGACCGGAGCCGCCGTAGCCGCCGCCGACGTGGAGACGGATGTTGATGACGGAGACGCTGGCAGCATATATGAATTTGTACTAAGTCTAGATCAAATCCAAAGACTAAGCTAGTCGCATAGTAGAGTTCGTCTTGGCAGCATAATAAAGTAGTACCTATCAGCCTTGGACTGACAAGCTGCGCCCTGCTACAGTGTACATGGTAACATTTGACAGAAGAATTTTCCATCGAGTTTCATCGGTATGACAACATCTGAGCTTACTCTTACTCCGCAAACCTCCATAGGTAAACACAGGAAATTCCATGTTGAGTTTTGGTAGTTGCTATCCTAATTGAGTCCGAGCAAAGCCAATCGCAACCTTTCCTGAGTTCCAGTACGGCGGCTGTAAACCAAGGTACTCTTGAAAGAAACCCACATCCCTTCACCGGTGAGTCCATGACAAGAGACTGGCCACAGGCCAGCCTTGTTGTTGCTAAGAACAATAGTTCAGGTACGCGTTGGCTAAGTGCCAATGTGGAGCCAACCCCCGAGCATCGAGTCTCCCGACGATCTAGCTTGCTGGCTCGGATTTCGGATACTCCCCATCAACTGGGTTGGAATGCAGCGACCCGACCCGTGACTAAACTTTTGAAGGTAAGGCCAAATCTAAATACGATGTGGACACATTGGAGAAGATTCAATCTGACTTATCAAGCACCGCTAGCGCAGGGTTCGCCGGGGAGATCCATCCGTGCAAGCGAAGGATTCCGCGCCTTTTGTATCTGCCCGCTTGCGCGAAGCTCTCGGCCGGTCCATTGCCATGAAATGCAAGGGGTGAGCTTTTTGGTATGAATGATCGAATCAAAATCGTATACAAATGGCGCGTTGCGCGGAGAAAGAATTCCGGCCACGGTCTATTGGTGTTGATTGAGGCTAGGCACAACTGAACCGAAGTAGTGATAGGAGGTGAAATGTTTTGAGCTGCTATTCATACTAGAGCTTTGTGCGGAGTTAAGTTAATTTTCACATACCTTCGAGATACAGTTTTGAGATGCAGAAATTCCTGTAAGAGCCATATTCAGGTCTGGGAGATTTCAATTCGTTGTTGAAAATCGGCCCCGCCCGGGTAGCAAAACTTCCAGGAAATGCGTACATCCGTTGTTTTCATCTGCACTCATCTAAAGATCTATAGAGACTCGCTGAAGAGTGCTGTGCTTGATTTTTCGCTTCATATTTTGTCCGGACTCCTCCGGTTGGTGGCGCCAGAAGCAAACATCACGCAACTACCCACTCTGCCGCCACGGGGCATAGGCACACCTTGACTCTTTGGGCATCCGCTCACCCTATCTCTCAAATCTCACTCATCATCGATCGTTACTCACAAATTCTCATGAATATGGAGACTGAATTCGACGCCTTTGAAATTGACGACTTCGGCCCTTCGGTACGGGTCCAGGTGCCAAGCACCAACGAGGGTCTCAGCCAATTCAATCAGGCCTTTCTGGACCCGCAGCAACGTGCATACGTCCAGCACATTGACTTTCACGTCGTCCTCCCGGCCATCAGTAATAAGCGCCTGAGAAAGATACAAAGCTCAAAAGAAGCCGCAGAAAACGACGCACATTTCACGAAAGCTGTCACGAAATTCCTCGGTCGGCTGGCGAAATGGGAGCGTCGCCGATATGGCCCGGGGATCACGCTGAAGATGGTCGTCGCGTCGCCGACGGACTGGCTAGTGGAGGAGATGGAAGAGGACGGGGAGCTGGTTAACACGCACAACCACCGAGTCGCTCCGATATGGCAGGTGCGCGATCACTTTCGGTACATCCGTTTCGACGAGAGCGTGCTGCCGCCGTCCGGGACTGGATCATCGGGGCTGCCGCAGGTCGCGTGCGTCTCGGACTTTGAAGTCGACGGGGGCCCGGGCGGTCGCAATCTGCATCCCGAGGTGATCTCGGCCATCTCGAGCGCCTTGACGTCGGCGAGGAAGATGGAGTGGAGGTTGAGGCTGCCGACGCGCCGTCTCATGTCTGCCCGGCGGGAAATCCGGTCCGCTCTTGGGAATGCACTGTTGAACACGGCGTTTCCGAGTCTTGTTGAGTTCAAAGTCAAGCTGGAGGATGCCGATCCCCATGATGAGACGTTTGAACCTGGCAATCTGTTAGACAACGGCGAGCCGGAGGACAGATTAAGTCTCGGTGTGCGGCGACTCTGCCAGCTTCCCACGCTTCGGAGATTACATCTAGAGTCGCTGTGGATTTTATCGCCAGTCGCCTTGGGCTCGCGACCGAATCCAGAAGACATGCTGTCCTCATCTCTGGAATACCTCTACGTGGACTGCGCTGTTACGACCCCGGATGGAAGATACTTACTGACCGGGAACCCTGAAAAAGCCATGATGGACGACGGAGGCTACGCGACAACCTCTGACGCATCTCTAGCGACATTCGACTCAGATGATTCGGACGCCTCAGACTTCCAACCGGACTTTGAGTGGGCCAAGCAGGCCGGCGAATTCCCCGGGCGCTGGTTCCGACTGACCCCCGACCCAGCCACCTTCACACCCCTGGCTGTCTCTTTCGCCGAAGCTGTTGCCAAGATGCCATCGCTGCGGCGAATGGATGTGCATTTTGGGGGAACGGCGGCGAATACCCGAGCACCCCTGGAAATGTCTTACTTTGCGCCTGGGGAAGCAAATCGTGGGGCAAGCCAGCTCAACGGCCGGAAGAAGTTTGACGAGGAACACGTCGATCGGCCGCGTTGGTTTCTCCTTGGGGGCCGGAAGTTTGACAAGCACTGGGTGGTACCGAAGGAGCTGGAGGACGCATTTAAAGGACGGTCAGAAACTGGCTGCTTTCATCTTACTACCAACTGAGAGGGAAGACAAGATCGTAAAATATGAAGCTTTCTAATCCGGATTATTCTTTCAAAGGCCATCGTGATCATCGAGCGCCCGATGATCTTCCCAACCAGGTAATAGAAGGTAGCAAACCATATCTAACCAAGCACATGATCGCTTAGAGAGACAATCTAAACGGGCAGCGCGAGGTAACATCCAACCAATATCATGCAGACAGGCCTGCATTCCGCCATTTCCGGGCATCTGCGCCCCAACAGACCCGCCTCGCTTGCGCACTCATCCATCCTATCCATTCTGAAGTTCCTCCATCCCGCACATGGCCGCCATCCTCCCCCGCCGCTCCACCCTGTCCGTTTGAAGGAGGTGCCAGATAACGGAACATCGGCGGCCTTTAAAAATCACGCAATCGCCGGCAGAGTTGCAAATGTCGTGATTTTAGACCGAAGCACGCCGCCAATATTCTTCTCTGACGCCGAAAGAAAAAATGGGCGGAGCGCCGTCCGTTCCCACCGATCCGTCCCGGAGGATCCAGGTCATCGGCGCGGGGTACTCCCGGACCGGAACCGTCTCTCTGCAGCTGGCGCTGGAGAAGCTCCTCGACGGGCCCGTGATGCATGGCGGCACGCAAGTTCTCCATCGCGAAGATGGTACGTTTCCTCATTCCACTATTTAGTTGATGGGTCGAGATGTGAGAGATTGTGCTAATTAATGGTGCGAAATCAGCATACTGCAAGAAGCTCGCGCAGGCGTACGAGGCCAAGCGCGCCGGCGATAAAGCGCGACTCCACAGGCTGCTAGAAGACATTTTCGCGGGGTACGTCGGGTGCACCGACATGCCGCCGATCGACTTTATTCCCGACCTGCTGGAGCTGTACCCGGACGCCAAGGTGGTATTGACGACACGGGACAACGAAAAGTTTGCGAAAAGTATCCAGCTGGTAGGAAGCAATGCCTCCATATGGTGGCTGCCGTACGTGATGTGGCCGGTTCCCGGCTGGCGCTGGTTCCCGACGCTGGTGAATGAGTTCACCAACTCGGCGATGAAAATCAAGGGCCCGACAGATGGCCAGGACCATTATCACTGTGAGACCTTTCTCTGCACCCCCCCACAAAGGCATAGAGACTTGTACGTGCGAATACTGACCTTTGCACCAGCAATACTTCCGAACTGGAATCATTCGGTGCAGCAGATGGTGCCGGCTGACAAGCTGCTCATCATGGATCTGAAAGAAGGGTGGGAGCCTCTGTGCAAGTTTCTGAACGTGCCTGTTCCTAATGAGCCGCTGCCGAGAGCGAATGACGCGGCTGCAATTGAGAAGACCGCCCAAGAGGTCATTGTCAAGCTGATGGGCATATGGAGCGGTATGTTTGCGGCGTCTGGCGTGGTTTCATTTACCGCTTGGAAGCTTTGGAAGACCAGGTAGCGTCGGGTGTGCTTTAGGGGACAGGGGTCAGCGGAGCGGCTTCAATGAATACCTGCGTGCCAAAGGCGTGCGGCAGCAAAGATAACAATTTCGTAGAGAAGATGAATGTGATATTCATTTCGAAAGAAACGTTTCTGAGAATGACACAAGAGGATTCCATTAAAACATGATTGGTCAGGAGCAATGAGACGAACTCGATCCCGCCCAAGTGTTGTGCTCCACAGCGAAACAGTGTCACTGAATGGTCTCCACGGAGGGCAAAAAAGGTTTCGCAAAGTCTTTCCCTCCCGAAACTCTAAGACTACTTCATCAAGACGACAAACTCTTCTCAAGGTTCGCACTTCGATGATATAAATACTATCCGTACTAGCTCTGTAATGCTGATCTAAGGTGGACCATAACTGCCGACATCCGTACACCTCGTCACGCCTTAACGGCCCTGTTGCTCGGAACAGCCCCACCTCGGATTCCACTTCGGATTCGCTTTCACGGTCTTAAGAAGGGATGATGATCATGACCCGGTACTGAGAACCAAACTACGGCTTCTAGAAAAGCGCTCGCCGCGTAATCTGAGTCGCATCATCGAGGCTCAGCAATATGAAGAAAACAGGCGATCTGCGTTTGTTTTACGTACGGCGTGGCCGAGTTATTCTTTGCTCCCTTGTCCAATGACGATTGTTTAGTAAACCAAACGGACTGACCAGTCTACATCATGAGGCGGCTCAGGGGCTCATATAAAGACCAAAGGAAACTGCATAGCTTTTGGAATTGGGCTACTATCTTCCACAGACATACCGACTACCACATTCGTTCTTCTTTACACAACGCCTCACATCATGTGGAAGCTCGCCGCTGCCGCAACACTCCTCGCAGAGGCCAATGCGGCTTTCTCAACTGTTGTCCAAACAAACTATGGATCTGTTCAGGGCTATCCGGCTTTCAACAGCACTCCGGTCAACATGTCGCTCACCAATTGGGCCGATATCACCGTCTGGAAAGGCATCCCCTTCGCAGCAACCACCGCCGGCGAAAACCGCTTCAAGCCTCCTCAGCCCGTGACCCCCTGGAACACGACCCTCGACGCCAAAGACTTTGGCAACGCCTGTCCCTCTGCACTGGGCACCGGCGAAACCGAGTACTCCATCGGTGAGGACTGCCTGAGCCTCAACGTCTGGAGCGCGGCGAACTCGTCAGACGCCAAGTTGCCCGTCGTGATGTGGAGCTACCCGGCCGGATCTAGCTCTGCGTTCCCCCTTTTCGACGGAGCCGGCACGGCTGATAAGGGCGTGGTGTTCGTCAACTACAACTACCGCACTGGTTCCTTCGGGTGGCTTGCTACCCCTGAGCTCAACGAGGAGAGGCTTGCGAGTGCTGGGTCCAACAGCTCTGGCAATTGGGGAATGCTCGACCAGTTCGCAGCGCTTACTTGGATTCATGAGAACATTGCCCAATTTGGAGGCGACCCGGATCACATCACGGTCATGGGCCAATCTGCCGGGTCCGCGGCCACGTACCATATCCTGAACAGCCCGCTCCACAACATCACCATCCACGGCGCCATCATCCAGAGCGGTGTTCGGGACCCTCACGACCCTTTGGCCACGAGCCTTGCGGAGAACTACAGAACTTTGGATGTGAACATGGACACTGCGGCGAGGTTCATGGCGTCGTTGAAATGCTCTGACATTGCCTGCATGCGCGCGTTGCCGATGGACGACCTGGTCACCGAGTTCTTGTCGTCTGAATTCGACTTCACCGCCACGCTCGATTACTACGCCATGCCCGACACCTACCTCAACACCCTGGAGAAGGGCATCGCACAGGACGTCCCCGTCATGACCGGCAACACCAAAGACGAGAGCGGCGCTTCGTACGGGCTCAACATCACCCTCGCGACGTACCTCTCCGACCTCAACGAGACCTACGGCACCTGGCAACAGGAGTTCCTCGCAGCATACCCCGCCAACGATTCCGCGACAGCCTCCGCGGCCTACAATGCGCAGTTCACCGACCGGTCAAAGGTTGGCACCTACTTCTGGTCCCAGCTCTGGGCCAAGAACGCCACCTCCTCGGTGTACAACTACATCTGGGACCATGCGCCGCCTGGACAGACCCAGGGGGCGTACCACGAGAGCGAGATCAACTACGCGATGAACAACCTGTACGGAACGGATCTTCCGTGGACGAGCGAGGATTACGCGATTGCTGAGACGATGAACGCGTACTGGGTTGCCTTCATCAAGAACGGAAATCCCAACGCGGAGGGGCTTGCGGACTGGGCACCAGCAACGGATGCCAATGCTACTGTGATGGAGCTGGGTGAGGGATTCCAGGTTCTGCCGATTGCAAAGGAGAGCCAGATTGACCTGTTCTCACGGTGGTTTGACTCATTGGTAGCTTATTAAGTTGCATGTATAGGTAATCCTCCTGAAGGGTTGGAATTGAAAGAATTCTGTCTTTTACGGACTTAATCTAAAGCTCAATGTTGAGTTCATCTGTAATAGTGCCTGTGAAGCGGTCTCGTGAACGCGGTGAGCCAGATCAACTTCGCATCGCATCGATGGTCGAAATCTGAGGGTGGATGTAAGACCCGTTGACCGCGTATTCTTCTGCTCCGTACCAACGGACTGGGATGAAGGTCAGCAAGCTTGCAACAGAATGTCGTACCATTCGTGCCTAAGCGGCCTTAACTCACGAGTGACAGATATCGTTGCCCCCCCTGGAGTAATTGGCAACCAGCTGCATGCCTTTGTTAGCAATTTGTTGCTCAGTGAACATCCAATAAACAACTCACTTAGCTGTCCAGTTTGTAGGAGGCTCAATACCAGAGGCCTGGAGCAGTACTTGAAACTCTCTATGATCCCCCTTCGCAACTGGAGTTCCATCCGGAAATGTCAGATTGCTCCTATCACCAACCATGTACTTTTCCATGTCGTTTGGAACGAGATCTTGGTCCGGACCGTACACCGTGAGACTCCAAAACCCGCCATCCTTGATTTTCGGGGGCTCGGGGAAGGTAAATAAAATAGACTTCCCCTCTTCGACCACAAGATCCCCTTCGTGAAAGGGGTACACGCTCTCTGAAGGGTCGAGAGCCAAGTATGCCGTGGTTGCGATCTGGTACCGAGCTTCGTAGTGAGAGTCAAACTTCCCGATATACCCTTCAGAGACGATGAACCAGTCGTTCCCAACATCTTGACGAACACCAGGCTTATCCATGAAAGCGAGGGAGGTCTTGTTGGCAAGCTCTACCGCCGCAGTCAGGTTGGATCCTCGTGGTTGAGTGAATGTTCTGTTGTTGAAACCCGCCTTGCGCAGTTCCGCGGCGACCCAATCCCTGTCTGAGGCAACGTAGGGCGGATTGTACGGAGCGAGCGCGGCGGCAACTTTCATGACGGCCTCGTAATAGGACGATATGTTGCCGTCATTGTACTCTGGTTTGGTGAACATGGTGAGATCCAGTGGCGGAGCGATCGGCGGCTCAGGTCTGGGGATAGTGCGAGAAACGTTGAAGCCCAGCTGAAGCTTTTGGACAATCTTGACGTCTTCCTCGGATCGGTCTGTGAGGATTCTAGAGTTCACCAGCCCATATGCCATGGGGTACTTGATGACTCCGGCGAAGCCATCAGGGATGTTCTCGGTCTCGAGGCCGTAGTTGTCCGGGTCGTATTGGATGAGATACTCTCCAGGCTTGCTGACTCCAAGGTTCCCAATGTTGATCAAATTGTCGCCGTACCTGAGTTCGAGGAAATGTGAGCGCCGAAGAAGCAATTGAGGTGCATTTAATTACTCACGGCGTGCATATGGGAAAGACCCAGTACCGGTCTTGTGGCATCTCTGGGATGTTGACCACTATGTCATCGGAAGACAGGTCAATAAACAAGATTGAATACATCGTGTCGGCATTTGGCCGTACAACCCCCACACCACCTGGCTCATTTGGCTCTGGGTCAGGGAGGTTGACGTTTGGTTTCAGGGGGACTTCTCTGAGGATTGGCTTCGCGACGTTTCCGTAGGCATACAGAGAATAGCCGTACTATGTGTTCTACGTCAGTCTTCTAAATGCCAAAATGATTGAGGAATCAGGTGCGGTATACCGTGTACGCAAAAGCTAAAGCGTTTTGAGATTCATGCCTGGGGATTGTAACGCCTAGTGAAAGACTGATGAGGCTCAAGACTCCGTTTATAAGTGTTGATCTCATGGTAAAGTTTGATGGCGAGAAGGTTGTATGTATTGTAATATGGATTCAAACGACAGAGAAATCATTTCCAGACTTCCCGTCGTTTAGTTCTTATAGAATTCGAGGCATTACCAGTTTAAAGTCTCAAGGCCCCACGCCAGCCCATCTGACGCGGGCAAGTTGGGGCAGGGCCAAGGCTGAATTATTCTCGCCTCAGCATGCGCCCGATTAATGAGACAAGAAACAGAAAGTGACGACAGCACTAGCTTTGGAATTCGTAAATGACCGTCAATTTTAGATTCCATTTATGGTAAAAACTCAACATACCAGAGCCAGCTAATACAGAGCTGGCCAGCTATTGTTCTGCCGGCAGCAGTGATACGGCGTAGTTGTGTGATAGATGCTGCTATCTTTGCTCTTATCGAAACGCGATTTGCTAGGCATTCTGGAGAAGCTTGACTTTGCCGACATGCAGCTTACCCGCATGCTTATTTCCGCCATCTTGAGGGCTGTACGACCGGCCCAGCCGCGCTGACGTCGGCTCACTGCAAGCCACATTGGGCCCGATTGGCCTCCTGGTTGAGATGATGGATAGATAAGCGTTTAGATAAGAGCTTTCTGCAGTCTTGAGTGTCCATACTGCTAGCGTGCTGTCACTTTGACTGAGGATAACTGAGTCTTCAATTTTCGCAAGTCCGCCGGTTCTATATGCGAGTTTTGTAAGAAGGTGAACTCACAAGACCTTCTCTGAATTGACTGTATCATAAATTTCGATGCTCTACGACACAATTTGCGCCAATGGCTTGAAAATTCGTCCAGCGAATGATACCTCTCTGGCGCAGTACATAGAAAGCGACTCGAATACAAGGGACTTTGGTTAGACGCCAAGCATGGCTGAGTCGATCCTTCGCCTTACGCTGCGCAGCATGTAGATCTAGCAGGCCACTTCAAAAGATCATAATTTCTTGACATATCTCGAAGACTCACCGATCAAAGCTCAAGGCGGATTGCAAAAGGCAGAAACTTCAACGTCTTCCGGAGCCTCAATGATTTGCTTCCCCACCCTATTCCGTCAACTCCAGCCAATGCAACCTGTCAGAATCATGTCAGCCGCGTCGATCCCACCTAGCACGAACCGTTCCCCAGACGTGGGAGGTGCGGAAAGTCTCCCAATCCGAACCGCCAAGTTCCCGACAAAGTATCGCCGCAACACGCCTCGCTCTAAAAACGGCTGTTTGTCATGCCGCGCGCGGCGGAGAAAGTGCGACGAGGTCAAGCCGAGCTGCACATCATGCAGCCGCAGTGGGCGGGAGTGCTCTTGGCCTGTCAAAGAGAACAATGCCAGCCAGAACACATCCCGGACTGGAAGCGACTTGAAAGAGCACTTGTCAAGTTCATCCGACGAACCAAGCTCTCCAGCGAAAGATATACCTGGCATGGACCACTCTGAAGCAGTGATCCTCGCTCAATCAGTGGTTTCGGAGGGAAAATCTGCCAATGCACTCTTCCTCCGCGCTTCTCTTACCCCTGGGATCTTGTCAAATCTGAGTGACACCTCCCGCCAGCTATATGAGCAATATCTTTCCAACACGGCGGATATCTTAGCGCGAGGCCCAAGTGCCGATGGAAACCCTTTCATCAACTATGTACTCCCCTTGGCACTGTCGGACGGGCTCATTATGGACTGCATCCTGGGCATCGGCGGGGCCCACATGGTTGCCCTCGATCCCGGTGCTCGACATGTGGAGGTAGCCACCCGCGGTCACTATGCACGTGTCTTGTCCGGGCTGCAGAAAGTTCTTGCCGGTGAAGTGACGCCTTATTTTGGGAGTGGCAAGGAGGAGAAGGCCCAGTACGTATTACTGATACTTCTTCTGCTGTGTGTCTACGAGGTAAGCAATGCTCCCGAGATCTTTATCGAGGCATGTTTGCTAACTTGTGCTAGCATACACAAGGAGATGTAAACGGCTCAGTGTTCCATCACATCAAAGCCAGCCGCCATTACGTTCTCAGCCTCACAAAAACAGCGCGGAATCCAAGCACCGACCGGCTGGGCCATATCAGAGGCTTCTTGCTGGAGATCTACTCTTTCATGGCCTTGAAATTGGCAATCACGCCACGAGGCGCAATGGAGAATCACCCGATTATGCTGGACCCATTCCTAGAATCTTTGAGCTTTCTCGGCGAGTACAAGTCCTGTGGTTTCATGCTCGGCTTCGGACACGGGCTGTTCGAGATGATACCCAAGATAGCCAGTCTGGTCGAGAAAAGGCGTTTGGAGGAGCTCAACAATGCCAAAACTGAAGCCTCAAACGATGCCTATCAGGACCTCGTGGAACGCTTAGAAAGCTGGGATGCATTCTCTGACGTTCTCACCGGCGAGGGATCAAGTCCGCGATACCAACAGGGCCCAGCAGTCGCCATCTATCGGACCGCCCTGATCGTATATCTTCACTCTGCGTTTCATGAAAACTTGCATGAGCGCGAGGACCTCTGCGTCGAAATCGATTTGCACATAGACAAGGTTTTGCCACTGATGTGGGCAGTGTACTCAAGCGCCGCGCCTTTTCGCAGGATGATGCTATGGCCGGCGTGTATTCTGGCTTCGTTTTGCAGGCGACCGCAGCTTGCCGATGGTTTTAGGATGGGACTGAACTGTAACACACGGGCGCCGGGCGGAGTGAAGGTGGCGGCGAAGGCGATGGAGATGCTGTGGGCGGATCCGGATCCTCGTGCGTATGGGCCGCGTGGGCTGAGTATGGTGATGAAGAAACATGGACTCAGCTTTAGTATGGGCTGAGTTAGTCCAGGTGATGGTATATTTTGTACTCTACTTGGGATGAGGGCGTGGACACGGAGCATACCAAAGCCTACTTTGACGGCACTGCGACAAATATATTTATGGCCCATGGGGCGCTGTTTATGTAACATTATGAAGGTGATCTCTTGCTGAAGAAGAATGTAGCAACCGTATCTAATCGATATTGTTATGTTAATCTAGCCGCTCTTGTAGCTCGCACAGCGTACCCATGCAGGATATGCAGCACAGAGATAGGATTATACTCAGCCTAATACTGGTTGTCCGGTTCATGTGCCACGAAGAGCTACAACGGCAGCGGGGCTTAGGTGTACCCTGTATTCAAATGATCTTTATCCGTTCCATGGGTACATCATCGAACCACATTTTGTTGTGGACGTATTCGGTAAAGCAACGGCCAAGGCGTCTGAACTCCTTCTCTCTCCCGGTAGACTCCAAGATGAGCCCATGCCAGCTAGTGTGATTCTCCTTCCGACGCACCACCTGCAAGCAGTACAAAGACTGATCGTTGGCCTTGAAAGGCTCGTCGAAGATTATTTGACCAGCAACTTCACCTCTGTCCAGCAGGTAATCGGACACCGCGCCTTCTGCGCGAGAATTCACCTCTACAACGTGGAAATATCCCGGGTCCTGAGGGTTTTGCCGTTTGTCAAAAGCCCTGACTCTTCCAGATAGCATAAGATGGCCGGACCTTACCATCCCCCTCGGATCAAGACCAGTTGGCTCAATTCTCGGTTCCAAATTCTCCACCATAGGCTCAAAAATATCCAATCCATGTGCGTTTCCAATCGTCATGGAGATTCCTCCCTCCAGGGCTGCCCACGACCAGCTCGGAGCGCGATATCCATCTGCTGGCGTCCTAAGCCAAGGCCCCACCCGGCCCCAGAGCAGGCTGTGGGCGAGGTTGGCTTTCCAGAGCCCCGCGGCGTACCCAATCCCCGTACGATCTTCCATAGCCTTGGCTAGACCCGAGAGGGCTGGGAGTTTGTCGAAAGACTTGGTGATACCTCGACTGGCGTAGTGTGCCACCATGCCATTCCAGTCCGCTTCAAAGCTGGAACCCTCGCTCGAGTCCGTGGTATACGGAAAGGACAAGTTAAGATCATTCGGCTCCTCGTAGAAAGTCCCTTCAGAGAACTCCCACCCGGGGGGTATCCCATCTTCCGTGACACGGCGTTCCTGACAATGCCAAAGTAGCTGATCGGCGTCGAAGTTGATCATTCGGGACGAAAGTATCTTTTCCTGGAGGACCCAGGCCCGGGTATGCAAAGTTCTTTTGGAGAGATGTACAAAGTCTCCAGGTTGAGGCCGGACCATAACTCGGATCGAGTCATTCCCGTCTGGCTGCGAGCACCTGAGCTCTACATGGCTGGATGTGTCCCGATGAATAAAGCAACCCCCTCTTGAGTCTGTTGATCCCGATGCCGCGATCGTGAGGTAAGATGAAAAGTAAATTGAACCCATGCTGGCGCTTTCCCGTTCCCAATCCGCTTTAGAGTCTTGGATAATGCACAAGGAGTCGATCCACAAGTACTGGATGCCCATAGCCCTGGTCACGACGACCGCGTCCCTGAAGGTGTTGGGAAGCTTCGACAGTGGCAGTTCTTTGAGGTGGTCGCCAATTGTCAGGCTCGTTGTCTGGATGACGGGATGAAGGCCCCAGCAGTGGCTCAGCGTCATGTACCGGCCTATTTCCCCATCCGTCTCCACCAGTCGAGGCTCTTGTTTTCCGTCCAACCCGACATCGATCACCCGTGTTGGCAACTTGCTAATATCCCGATGACAGCCTGAGTGGTTCTGATCGCAGTCATCAACCCATTCTCGCAGCCAGCAAGTCAAATTGTTGCCCAGCTGGCTTGATTCTCCGGCCGAAGATGATGTTGTCTAGATGCGTTATACGACTCCCGTCCCCTTCTGTCGAGTAGAAGCTCAAATATCCTGCGAGTCGAAAGCGGTCGCATGGGACCTTGCAGCGAAAAACCCCGCCTGGTTCGTAGTCATCATTGACGTACTGGATACCGCGAAGGACGACCGGGGACTGGTCGTCATCATCTCCCTCGAGTGTGCACAAAAACTCGCCGTCTTCGGCTTGGTCTTTTGTCAGGGTCGTCCAGAGCAGTCGACAGAAATCGCATATAGATGCACTGGTCCTGAGCTTTGAGAAAGACCTGTGGAAGACGAGGTCATGAACTTCGCGGTCCTGGTCGAGTAAACTGGCTAGGTCAAAGGCCTTACATGTTTTGCAGAGTGGCATCGTGGGCGTCTTGTGTAGGTCGAGATTCGAGTGCGCAGCCACACGGTCCTTAGAACATAGAAATGAGGGGCTGCAAATCAGGCAGAGGTGAGATTGAAGTGGCCTATCGCAACAAAATCACGCTTGTGTACGCCAAATCGTGTGATTGGCCAGTCGGAGGGCGCGGAGTATCATCAAAGTCTATTGCCAATTTTCTGGCTCAGGTATCATGGGTCATAAAACAGGTATCAATGCAGCTTCCCCGAAAACTCCATCAGTCATTTCGCGTAGGTCTTGAGTTGGGCCCCTTAGCAGCCACCACCACCGCCGCCGCCACCGCCTCCATCACCACCACCACCACCTCCGCATCCTCCACCTCCGCCATCACCGCCGCCGAAGCCATGATGTCCTCCGCCGCCGCCGTCACCTCCCGTCGCACCGACATATGCGAAGCCAGGACTGGTGTAGTGGTGTCTGTGGCCGCCATTGCGATGAAGGGTGTTTCGGCCTGTGGTGCCGTAGTTGCTGCTCCATGCCGGTGCTGGCCTGGGGGCGTACTCGGACTTTTCGTAGGTGTGCTTCTTTGAGGAAAATGGGAGACACATTTTCAGAGTTGTCTGTCTTGGAAGTGGATGTGTCGTCGTGTTCAGGTTTTTAATTGAGGATTGTTTGTGTGTGGGAGTAGTATTGAGATGTTCGTGAGATGGTTTGAAGTTGTGATCATGAAGTTGCTTTGTGCTTTGAGATAGCAAGAAGTAATGACAAGTCGTCAAGCGCAACTGCTTCGATTAAATACAAAAATTCTTAAATATGCTACGCAGTCGTAGCTCTGACGTGACTGCCTTACCGGCTAGAGACAAGCTTCACCAAGACGCAGGATCGCCCGGGCAATTCTGACTTCTAGAAGCCTTCTAGCGCGAGGAAGGATCATGGAAGACGTAGCATGATGGCACAAATTGGCCTATCGACCAATTACCCAACGGATAACGCTTCAGCCTGCATTCGAAAATTCGGCCTTGCACCACTGCCACCCGTATTCTGTTTGACATTAACTCAAAACGGGGGAGCTGAAGGTGCAGCTGACGGGAGGGTGGATCCCGGGGGGCGGTTCCGTGCTTGTGGGTCCCGCGAATCTCAGTGGCCTCTGACAGGTGCGGGCGGCCCAGCCGGGGCTGGGGGCCCCCGATCGCCGGTCGGGATCGGCCAATGACGTAGGGCCGGCTAGGTCCGCTGCCATACACGTTGGGCGCAGCTGGGCACAGCCTGCCCAAGTGAGCCCACCCGCCCGGTACGTGCGTCACTCAGGGTCCTCCCTTGAATTCGACGAGAAGACACAAGAATGCCCAGCCCTTCCTCCTGTGCTTCTTTTCGCTGAGCTGGCGCTTCGATGGTCGGCATGGCGTAGGCTTACTGATCAGCGGCCAACAGGGTCACGTCTGTGGCTCATGCACAGCGAAATGTTAGGGAGCGATTCGTGTGATGCGTCAGAAGGATTCCAGGACGTGGCTTCGTGAGTCTACAAGAGACTTTGTTTCTCCCCTTCGGTGAAGAGAGCGCTGACGCTGGATTAAGGGATGGCTTGAGTGACGTAGGCAGACACAAGGCCGCATGACTAGTGCCACGGCCAACTGTCAGTCACAGTGGAAGAGAGCTTGATTGAAAGGGTATCATTTTATTCCCATCGTGCGAATAATCGTCAAACGTAGATAGAGTCGAGAGAGCGCCATCCGTAATCATGAGCCGTCGCCGGCAACAGCCATCCCATCTCATCGTGTCCCAAAAATATTACAAGGTGAACGCCAAGCGGCAGATAAACTTCCCGAACCCCCGCACCACGGCCCCATCCGCCGGATCCCCAGTGCCTTAATCCCCGAGCTGTCAAAAAATTGCAGACGGCCAGAGAAACATCCTCATTCTGCCCCTAGCATCCCTTATTTCCTCGGCTTAAGCGGGTCTGATGTGAAGAACCAGTCCAGGAAGCTGGACTTGAACGAGCTTGGTGGAGATGATGGCGTCTGGGCCGCCTCGTCGCAGCGTTCTGAGGACTCCGCTCCGTGGATGTCTGCTCGGAGAGCGTCCTTGAAGTCCGAGCTGAACTCAATGATCGAGCGGCGGTGCGGCCAGCCACCGTACGCTTCGCTACCGGCGGTAAACGGCATTCCGGACATGATTGTGGCTGGTGTGGGGCTGAGTTTTGGAGGTTGGAGATGAACGGTTGAGGCAGTCTCGATGGGCAGGACTTTTCTTGGGGTATTGATTCGACGGATGCAGTGTGTTCTTGGGAGTGTCTTCGTTCAGTTGTCAAGTGGTATGTCTGTCAACCTCCTTGATTCTCGACGAAAACGGACTCGGGGGCCTTCGTCTTTATACCCCAACATTCATGCCGTTGGACACGTCGTAAACAGGCCACGACCAGCTGACCCTCAAACGCGTGGCTGAGATCAAAGGTCTCGCTTCCTTGGGATTTCAGGGAGGATCTACGCTACACACCAGTTCCAGCCCGCCAAGATCATCAGGAACGCGGCACTCAATTGGCCCGTCGCCTCGAGCGGGTCGTAATCAAGAATAAGGAGCCCGGGATTGGTCACATTCCCCCAAGGGAGGGCGTCCCCAAAGGCCGGAACCGTCCAAAGATATTTCCCTCTCAACAGAGCGCGTCGGACCATTCGGCGGTTTGCGATTACCATTCCTTTCAACTGCCACTGGTACATGCAGGTTAAGGCAGCGTAGCTCCCGCCCTGTGGCCCAACAGCCCCGTCCACGTGTCCCTGCTAGCGTCATCCTCTTTGAGCATACGCCAGCCCCCGCGACGCCTCGGCAGCCAGACCAGAAACCTTTGACGTTCAGTCAAAGTACCTCATCTTGACGCCCTTGATGACCTCGAGGTCGTTGACCGCGTTGTCGCCGGCCGCCGAGCTCGTGCTGCCCAGGTTCTTGATGATGCGCTCCCGGACCCATTCCCCGGCCGTGACAGGCTTCCCGTCGGCGCCCAGCACGGCCCCGTCCGCGAGGCCGCGCCGCTGCAGGACAGGGGACTCCCTGATCGGGACGAGCTCCGTGTCGTCCTCGATGCGCACCATGTAGATCACGCCCAGGCGGTTGATGTGTGCTTGGTCCCGCGGCGGGGCGACGACGCGGTGGATGCTGGATTTGAGGTAGCCGTCTGGGGGAGGGGTCAGTAAGCGACGGCTTGCGTGTGTGTGTGAGGCGCGGGGGATGGGTACTTGTGAGGAATTGCAGTGCGTCGGCGATGTTGACTGTCAAGGCGTCGGTCTGGGGCCGCACCCATTTCCAGGTGCCCTCGTTTGTGAGGACTTGGAGGGCGGCGACTGGTTGGCGGAAGAGGAGGGTCAAGCTGCCCATGTCGGAGTGTCTGATACCGCAAACGTTGTCAGCTTCGGGAGTGCATCTTGGACGGAGGACCATAAGCCATACCCTTTCAGCCATACCCGGTCAAGCTTCTCATTCTCCTCTTCGCTCCTCGCATAATACTTCATGTACCTGAGATGGTCCCCGCTGCTCTTCTCATACCGATGCTTCTTCACGAACCACTCCTCGTCTTCCAGTCCTAGCGCCAGGGCAAAGATGACCAACAGCTTCTTGACAATATGGTCATGCACATGCCTCGAAAACCTCTCGATGGTCGCCCAGTGTTCCTTCACAACTTCAGGGTGCGGTCGATCGGCGTGTTCCGGGATGAACTTGGGAATATTGTAAATCTCAAAATTGTCGCGCACCCCCGGGATCAGCTCCCGCGTACCGGCGGGCTTCCAGCCGTTGTAGTCGCCGGCTTCGAGTGCCGCTCGATAGGGTGTCTTTTCCACATCTGAGAGCCCGAGGACGGATGACGCGAGGGCGAACTGTGTATCGATGTCTTCTCTGCTCAGGCCGTGGTTTATGACATAGAAGAAGCCTGGAACCGCAGGTTTTGTCAGTCAACCCCTCCATGAAAGGCTGTTGGGTATCCGGGGCTAGGCTTACCAATCTTCTCAATAGCAGTCGATAGCTCGGCTGCCAGCTCATGCTTACCCGCCGGCTGGTCGAATTTAGAAAGGTCGAGGGCGACTAGATCGGCCCAGTCCAAGGACGCTGACGTCTCCGGCGCTTGGATGTATGAAAGAGTGACAGTCTCAGTTGTGGTAGCCATTTTGATCGTTTATTGTCGATTGAGGGTTCAGAAATCGAAGACGTAGAAGTCGACTCTAACTGCGAAGCAGCCTGGTTTAGTGACATCCACGGCTGTGATATACTTGGGCTGTCCTCGCGAGCAATCAATAACTTCCCCGCATCCCCTTCCCACACTCCTGACACCGATCCCAGGAGTCAAGAATACCGACAATGAGCCGAGAATTTACTGTCAACCTAGGCATTATTAATCCTCTGCCATCCTGGTCAAGTTGCAGGATCGCATGCCACCGGGCGGGTGTTTCTACCGGAGGGCTGGAACCACTGGGACCGACATCGGGAATTATCTTATCTTCAAGACGGCAAAATTCCATTGGGCGAGGACGAGACTTCTTTACGTTGTACCGACATGCTCCTTGATGTTGCGCAGGAAAGGAATCACGGTGTGGGGCCGAAGCTGTCATCAAGATGGAGACGGATGAGGCAATCCGGCCTTGCCCCGAAAGGTGGTGATGGGTAGCATCAGACTTTGCCCAGATTCTGGGCCTGGCAGGGATCGTTTTCCATAGGCATATTCCCGAGATCATATAACTAAAGTGAAGTATCACATGCGTGATACAGTCGTTTTGGATGCGAGATATCAACCTCGTTTGATATCATTTCGGCGGTGTAAAGCTCGATGGCGTCACTGACAGATGTTCAAGATGAACACGAGAGTCATTCAAGACAGGCAGAGTCGGAGAAACATGATCGTTATCAATCCTCAGTCCTGGAAGCGGTCGGAGATCACGCTCGAGTGGTTGATCCTGAGATCGAGGCCCGCGTCGTGAGGAAGATTGATCTCTTCCTGATGCCAGCGATGGTCATTGGTAAGAGCGTAGCACATAAGCTCATCAACAAGAAATATACTGACACTCTCATTCAGGCTATGGACTGGTATACTATGACAAGGTGAGAAAATCTTCCCCCGGTCGCTAGCAGCGTCTAACGCATGGAAAAAGGGGATTCTCGGGAGTGCAGCACTATTCGGCATGACCGGAGACCTGCAACTATCAGTCGTCGACAGTTCAGTGACACCACCAAAGACGGACACAACACGTCTGAGCTGGGCGACATCCATCTTCTACTTTGGCCAGCTCATCGGATCATACCCGATGACATACCTCCTGCAAAGATTCAATACCAGATGGACACTTGGCCCAGTAGTCATGATCTGGGCAATCATCTGTGCTGCAACTGCCGGTGTTACCTCGTGGCAAGGCCTGCTTGTTCAACGCTTTTTCTTAGGTGAGTCACCATGACCACACGAGACACAAAAAGCATACTTAGTCTCTGTGACAGGCTTCACGGAGTCAATCATCCCAACGGCCTTCATGATAACCGTCAGCGGCTACTACACACAAAAGGAACAAGCACTCCGACAGAGTTGGTGGTTTTCGGGCACTGGATGGTTCACAATAATAGGGAGCGCCCTGAACTACGGCTTTGCGCAGATCAAGGGCGGCGCGTTAGCGCCGTGGCAGTACATCTACGTGCTTGCTGGCGGGCTGACCTTTCTGTTTGGCATTTGGTGCTTCTTCTTGCCAAACTCGCCGCTGACGGCTTGGTTTCTGAAGCCCGAGGAACGGACGGTTGCTGTGGAGCGTTTGCGGCGGGGGCAAACTGGTGTGAAGAATCAGATTATCAAGGGGAGCCAGATCAAGGAGGCAGTGCTGGATCCGAAGGTTTGGCTTGTGGCTTTGACTATGGCATCTGGGTGAGAGGTTTCATATGATAAGATGTTGAAACTGAAGCTAATTTTGGGAATAGATACACTGTCAACGGCGCTGTCTCTGGGTTTGGTCCCCTTATTGTATCGACATTCGGATACTCCGCCTTGGACAGCATCCTCTTTCAGTTCCCGCTTGGTGCTATTTGCGCTGTAGGCATTCCGCTTACTGGCTGGCTTTGCTCTAAATACCGCAACATCCGAATCATAACGCTCATCATATGCACTCTTCCCGTTATTGCGGGGTTTGTCACAATCTGGAAGTCAGATTGGGGCGTGCGGCCGGTCGCACCGGTCGTTGGCTACTCACTGATCGGGTTCTTCGGGCCTGTCGTCAGTTTGACGGTCACTCTAGGCGCAGGTAACGTTGCGGGCGAGACGAAGAAAAGCTTCATGGCTTCTGCCGTGTTTGTTGCCTATTGCGTGGGAAACGTCGTCGGCCCGCAGCTTGTCAGGAGCGAGACGAAAGCGCAGCATTATCCGGAGCTGTGGACTGGTTTGATTATTTGGTATGCTGTTTTCAAGGCCCCTCCGATGGATAAATGGCTAACCAACAATTGCAGCTACTGCATCACCATCGTCTCAGCGTCCGTGCTGTACGTACTGCTGTGGAAGGAGAACAAAAGGCGGGACAGTCTCGACCTAGATGAGAGTGAACAGGACAGACTTGCATTCAAAGACCTCACAGACAAGGAGAACCTTCACTTCAGATACGTCCTATAGCTTATTATTTCAGTCATCATGACAGCTACAGCAGTATTCGGCCAATAAGATGGTGATTCTAGTACTTGAACATTTGAAGCACACCTCAAAAACACAACTGCATCGTCATGTAATCTTCGCCTGCTATCAAACATTATCTTTCTCACTCTTCTTATTCCCGGAGGTTATCTGAAATGTGTCTGTAATCACACACTTGGGTGGCATGGAAGGATGCTGTCCCACTTGCGTCTTTCTCAGGGGTCGTGATGCAATCGTCGATGAGCTCCACCATGGGACAGCGCCCGTTCGGACAACCAACAATCAGCACATTTTCGGATCACAACATGTCGGACAGTCCCCGACGCGTTCGTCTATGGCTCCGATATCGTCTCAATGCCCTGTCCACGCGGACGCCTCCGAAAAGGCACTCATCAGCATCGGATGTCACCAATTCGGTGGAGTGTTCATGAATTGCGATGCGCGCCTGGAAATCCATCTCAAAACATCTGGGTTCGTCTTCGTAACCTCTTCAACAAATTTTAGAACATCAAGATGGCCAAGAAAATACGCAGAGTGGCTGTTATCGGCGCCGGTCCGGCGGGCGCGATTGCTACGGATGCCCTGGTGAAGGAGCAGGCCTTCGATGTTGTCCGCGTTTTTGAGCGACGTGATCTCGCTGGAGGAACTTGGTAAGTCCAACTAATGATTACAGTGATCTAAGATATTCAGTCGCTGACGCCCATCTTAGGGTTTACACCCCTGAGCTTCCGCCCCGAATCCCTTCCCTTCGCGATCTCGTCGAGCAACGCGCCAATCCCCCTGTCGACCTCCCCAAGACCTTTCCCACATGGACTCCGAAGACCGAGAAGATCAACTCGCACCAGCTGCGTTATGCGGATAGCGGCGTACACGAAGCCCTCCACAGCAATATTACGCCCGAGATCATGGCCTTCACGCAAGAGCCCATCCCCAAGATACTCTCGGAGCGCACGATTGCCCAGTATGGGCCCGGCGCGCCTTTCAGACACCGAGAGCTCATTCGAGAATGGGTTGAGGCAATCTTCACCCGTGGCGGCCATGATAAGCTGGTCGAGTTCAGCACCACGGTCGAGCTGGCGGAGAAGAAAGGCGACGAGTGGGTCTTGACGCTCAGGAAAGTAGTCCCAGGCAAGTCAAAAGACTACTGGTGGCAAGAAACTTTCGGTGCGATAGTTGTCGGGTCTGGTCATTTCTACCTGCCTTACATCCCTGACATCTCAGGCCTCATCAAGTACGATGAGAAGTTCCCAGGGCGCGTAAAACACAGCAAACACTTTCGAAGTCCCGAGGAGTTCAGGGGCAAGGTTAGTAATCTGCGGGGAGGCTTTTGCATCGGTTAACGCGTGCATCAGAAAGTCGTAGTCGTCGGTGGTTCCGTCTCGGCATTTGACGCACTACACGACATCCGCCTGGTATCACAAACTCCCGTGATAGCGTCTCTTCGTGAACCACTACCCGCATTCGGATGGGCCCCCTTCACCCATCCCGACATCACGGTCAAGCCGCAAATCACGCATTTCTGCCACAAGACCGGCCGCATTACATTTAGCGACAAGTCAACTGTGGACGACGTGGATATCGTATTGTTCGCTACAGGCTATGACTTCAGCTTCCCCTTCTTGCCAAAATTGAAGGTTGAAAATCGGCGTATCCCGAGACTTTACCAACACGTTTTCCACACCGATGACCCGTCTTTGGTATTTGTAGGCATGGTAAGCTTCCTTCGCTTCAAGCATCAAATCTGAGCTAACCGACCTAGGTGACTGGTGGCTTCACCTTCCGTGTATTTGAGTGGCAAGCAGTAGCGGCTGCTCGCGTATTTGCGGGACGCGGGCAACTTCTGTCAACAACGGAGATGGAAAGGTGGGAACAGAATCGTCTGGCCAAGCGAGGAGACGGCGTGCCCTTCTTTACCCTTTCTCCAGACTTTGAGGAGTACTTTGAGACGTTGCGCGCCATTGCCGGTGAGCCTGCGCCTGGCTCAACGGGACGAATACTGCCCAAGTTTGACTCGAAATGGCTGGAGGCATTCGCCGACGTCATCAATGCCCGAGTAGACTGGTGGAAGAAGGAGACGGAAAAGGCAGAGAAACAGCAGAAGGCGCTGTACAAATCTAAGCTATAAAATGTTACCAAGTTTATCTTTACGGCGATCCATTACCTTTTACCAGCTACTGCCTACTCATTATCCTTACAAATTAACATCTCACTAAATACACCTCGGGCCCCATAAATTCTCCAGAGCGCCATATGCCTATGATCGAGAAATTGAAACGGTGAAGAGAGCCATCTTAGTGTATCACTTACGTATCCCGAGGACTGGAACATTTCTCGAAGTACGTCTTTATTCGATAAGACCTACTTTAATCGGGAATGATTTTACTAGCACTGTCATACAAGCATACCAAAGCTGGCATCGGGATTCGGGATAGGTCTCGACTGGCTGTCGGAAAACGAGAGCTTTTGAAGGTTCCACCTTCCCCAGTCGTCCCTTGAGGCGACGAATCAAGCCCTTTCCTATGGCGTAAGAGCAACCAGGCTGCAGACCTTACTACCAAGGGTCTCGCTTCGGCGGAACATGATTCAGGCGCGGGAATGTCACTTGACCCGAGCCAACATAAAGATGGGTACCTCAACTACTTACTAGCTCGGAGCTTGGTGCAGGCATGCTCTGCAACTCTTCTCGGAAGCATCCGGGAAGGGTAGTTGAGATCGTCGCCAAGGTCCTGTTATTACATCGGCGAAACGCACCATGCAACTTGTAGCTAAATACGTGTTGTTTAATATGCTCATCTCACGCAGACCTGGGAGAAGAGGCCAACAATTGTCTGGCTGCTTGTGGTTCTCACTTTGGACATCACGTTAGTAGATGCCCATAGAGCGAACACAGTTATTCTTAAAGTTGATGACAGCGACGGCCGGTTTCGCCAGGCTGTCCATCGTGAGGAGGGGTACGATAGTGTCATTACGGATCAGGCCGAGGGCACAATTGGCCTACATGTGTCGGATACCTTGACCGCGAAGCTGTTCAAAAAGAGCTGATCTGCACAGGGCTTCTCATTTTCTAGTTACTATGCTGTACCTAAGAAGTTATCAGGCGTTCCACCCTGGTAACATGCCATTAGGACTAAAGCTAGACCCATAAACCGATGGTAGTATCGTTCAGCTGGGCCTTTCAGGTAAATTTCCGGTTGGATAGTTGCGACTTCTCGCCGCGGTAAGCGATGGTCTGGCAGCAGACAACGGTTCACAGGTTAGTCGCAATTAGCACGTACGCGGCTGCCTCGAGACTGGCTCCGTGTGCTTTCCACCAAGATGCCGTCGCCGCCGTTCTACAATCTATGCCTCCATTCTCGTCTCGTAACCTATGTGGAGGACCGTTTCTGAGTTTTTTGGCTGTTATGACACTTTTCAACCAGCGCTACCCTATGGCCTCCAGGATGAATGACGAGGACGGTATACATTGTGCGTCCAAGGTCGAGTGCATTCAAGCTAAAGCGCGTTTACCACTTCCACTCACAACTCCCCCGGACCCAGCTTACTTCTACCTGCACCATCCATTATGTGCCACAACCGGTGGTCGCGAAAAGATCCAGGAAACATCAGTGGCGTCGTGGCCTTCAGAGACTGCTCATACCAGGGACTGACGGTTCGCATGGTACTGCACTGCTTTCCTACCCTCCTACCAGTAGGAAGCATTCCCGATGTTACCATCTGGGGCTTTTACGATCACCAAGTCCCAAAAGTACTTATGTTACCCGTCGTGGGTTAAGATGGACATAGACCGTTTTCCAAGAATGAGGGTCAATGATGAGTATTACTACCAAGATGACGAGGTCTCCGATGAAGCGTAGCGGTTATCGATGCTCTTGATATCGTCATATTACTTGGATTACCTAACTTGAAGACTGGAGACGCCCTATGTCAGGGCACTCCGAATCATTAGTAAAAGCAACTACTCCACTTAATCCTACACTAGAGCATCACACAACACGCAAGAAAAATGCCACGTAAAGATGTGCTTGATCAACTCGTCTTTAAGTATCATTTAGACTTGAATCAACATAGCTCGACGCTCCCGAGAGCTTTCCGAACATGGAATTCTCGACGGCTTCCAGGACTGTCCAGTATGAATCCTCAGACCAAGTCCGCAATTGACCCAAAATCATTACCTTGAAAGCCAAGGCTCTCAAAAGAACATCTGGATGATTTACGCTGTGTGGCTATACCCTCGGCCGTCCATGTTGTTTGGAAATCCCCTTACTCCAGCACCTCATGCCTGCCGTTGGCACAGGATAGTCCTCTCCCAATGGAGATATTCACATCAGCTGAAACCACCAAGGATGAATGGCAACGAAGGCCACGCAGTTGACCGGAAGGAAACCTCTATCCCACTGCCTTTCCAAGATATCTCATCTTTCTTTAAGAGTCCCCGGGCCCTCAATATTCTCTATATGAGGACCAGGGCGCGCGTTCTCAGAAGGAGGCAAGTATGTCTTCGGGGTCTGACACGTCATAGAAGTGGCGCATCAACGAGGATATCTATCAAAAGATCATCTGACACTTTACTAATATTCAAGATTAGACGACCGTGCTCTGTCAAACAACGATAGGCGGGAGGCTACGATGGGTCCGAAAGTATGGGTACTGAGATGACTATTGAAGCCTAATACTTGGCGCTCATTCGCGGCTTTCTCGGTCTCCTGGAATGTTCGATCTAGGATGAAACGGAAAAGCCTGAACCTGGCTGTGTGAAAGCATGGCAGCCGGTCAGACTTCCTCATTTCCTCGCCACCGCTCCCAGAGGTGGACCATCTCTCCGCAAGGAGGGTGGCTTTTAAAGATTTGCAAGTTTCTACCTGGTAAAGCCAACCTCGTACACCTTCCTTATACCTCCAGATTGAGTATAGTAATTGACCCTTCCCATTCCCTAGCTCTGAAGGCGGAGGCGTAGTCTCCAGAGCCGCGTTCGAGGGTAATCTGGACAAGCGGGCAGGCGATACGAGAGCTTACTCACATAGCGTCTGTATCCAAGATCGAGGCCCAACCTGACATCCTCCCCGGACTCGATTTAGCTTGCCAGTAGCACTCAAGGAGCCCGGGCCTTGCGCTTTCTGCGCGTATAATAATACTACGGTCTACCGTATACGGATGAGCGAGGCAACGGTTGTTCGTTCATAGTTTCCTACGCTGTGGAAGCTGGCCAACCTTCGTTCTGGTTGCGGCTATTCACTAGTTCACGGCCATTTCAACTGCTAAATATTCAGTGTGCCATATCGTGAATTACTATGGTACATCAGGTTTCATTGAAATTGATGCCCATAAGATTACGGCTCAGATCAGCCGCAGCCTGATATTTGCTAGGCCGCATAGCCAAGGAGGGCTGGCTGTGTGCCAAAAGACTGAACCAAGTCCGCAACGAAACTATTCGAACTCCCCAATAGATGAAACCGCAACATATTCATGAACCACCCTCAATCTGGTTCCCGGTCATGGGATGCAAGGTTGCGTTGCATATTATTACCCATTACCAATTTCCATCGTATTGCAGCTTGCACGGAAATACTAGCAGCTTATTTCAACCATTTACGCCATCGACCCCTGCGGTCGCGAAAAGAGGCCCTTGAAATAAGGGAAGTGAATGTTTCTCAACTCAGGCTCGCTGCGGGCCTCATGTGGATACGAGAACTACACCGGTGTGGGATGGAAAGGTCCCAGAGAACACGTGACGAAGGGTGGTACCACACCGTCAATCAACCTCGAATATTGAAAGCTCCGATAGGAGAGCATTTGAACAGTTGACATTCTTCCTGGGCATTACAGAAAGTCTGAGTTTTCTAGAGGGCTCTGCTCACAAGAGCAGTGAAGGATCATCTAGGGTGATGAATGCGCTACCTGCTTGTCGGGCTTGTACAAATGGACATCGTGCATGTTCAAAGACGAGCTGGAGGAGATCTTAGAGCAATCAGAGGACGACTCGATCGCAGGGGACGTCTCGATCGCACAAGATGAATCGATTACACAGGACGGCTCAATGGCCGAGGATACCTCCAACAATGCCAGCACAAAGACCGTCAGAGCAGTCACCAAGCCCACCCAGCCTCAAAAGCCACCTACAATGAATGAGCATGCTCGCCGGACGCCGGTGAATGATGCGCATGCAATTAAACTTCCAGCACCTCGGGCCTAAGTCGGAGGCATGGGCAAAGGACGTTGTAGAACTTTACAACGAAGGACGGGGCTCCCTTTCAACTGATGAAGGAGCTAGCCTTAGTCTGCCATCCAATTCAAGGCCAGGCCTCAATGCAACATGATGCAGCCCCTATTAACACAGCAGCAGATTCAGTTGGAAGCATTGATGCAGATCAGCATGCTGCCCGCTGCTCAATAAAAATGTGGCTGACGGCACCCACCCAAACGACTTAAAACGGGCATCATCAAGCCGCGGGTGACATATGTTCGCGGAATAGTCTGTCTCTCGAAGGGGTATGGCTGAGTAGACAGTAATGCCTGTCAACCTGAGCCATAATCGAGATGCTCTGACGCAGTGTATGCCCGCCTTCTCGCTCTTTGTCTAATGGAAGGTCTTACCGCAAGGTACGCCAGCAGTACAACCGCAAAAGGCCAAACACAAAGCCTGCCAGGAAGGTCGATTCTTACCGATGAGGGATTCGAGTTTGCGATGGAAGCGCGAGTCTGCTCCGACAAAACATGACGTTATTTACCGGGCCCAAAAGAGAGCATCAAAAGCTAGGGGTTGCGCCATGAGGCACGCTTAGACCGTACCAAGCTGGCTCTGGGCTCGATGATTGGCGGTAATGATGATACCGACATGAGGCTAGCGTCATGGCTGGGTTATTGCAATCGCTAGCAGATGGTCTCAGCCTTCCTTGTTGTCTGTGTGTTAGCAGCAACCGTGAGGGTAGAGCGCGCTGTGTTGGAACATGATGGTCCATCTGGGAAAGGCCATGTCTGCAACGGTGTCCTGGGAGCAACTCGGATGAAGCGTCGAGGCTGCTGAAAGTCTTTTTTCAAGCTACCATTTCGCCCAATACATCAATGTTGCCGCAATGACACTCAAGAAGGCGCTCATCCGCGACAGGCTCTGGTCTGGATATTGTCAAT